TTACTATTTTAAAGAAATTTTTCTTTTCCTGGTCACTAATTGCAATCTTATCTTCTATATCTGAAATTCTGTCCTCACATTGGCCCATTCTGCTGTGTAAACTTTCAATGCAGTTTTTAATCTCCTGGGAATCTGTTTGCATCTGTTTTATGGATTCCATTTGTTTCCTATGTTGAAATTTCATCATGTTCCTCAGCTTGTCTATTTTTTTAAATCTGTGTCCACTCTACACTTAATAATCATGTCTTGCTCTATGGGCACAATCTCTGCTGTTATCTTAGAAACTATTTCTGATTTCATTTTTTCCAGATCCTCTTTTGTTGCCAGTTCAGGAAGTCCAGGTGGTTAAGTATCACAGTGTTCCATCTCGTTTCCCTTTTGGGTTGCTTTAGGTGATCTAGAAGTCTACTTTTGAGACTTGTTTAAGTGCCTTCTCATTTGAAGGGGGCGGGGCGGGGGGGGTCGGTGTGTGCTGCTGGTGTCTGCGTGGCTCACCTCCTCAGTGCTTGGGGCGGTGGCACAGTAGCCTGGAAAGTTCACCTCCTCTGTGCTGGGGGCAGCTCTGCTCCTATAACTATGCTTTTAGATGTTGCTTATTTAAGCAGCAGTCATTGTTTTCCTTCAAACTTGAGGTCTATGTAACCCTACAAAAGCATACATGGTTTCAGTGTTAAAGGATAGAGTATAAAAGCTTTGTGTGAACTGTCTTACTGTTTATGTTCATTTCATATAACTGAACTGCCAAACCATTACATCTTTAAAGCATGAGTAATAACAGCAAAATGTGTACGTGAAGAGCAGTTTGGCAAGTCTGAACTTGATCCTTCCATAGGTAAGGTGCTGCTGGAGGTAGAAAAATACACACATGGTTGCTTCTTTCATGTCTTCTTGTTCCTTAACATCCCTCCAGTGGCTTTCTTCTATCAGTTGTAAAAAGTTAGGGAATAAAATTCATTTTATGATTAATCTAAACCATGCATGTCCAACTTTCAGCTTGTCTGGACCATACAGAGTAAAGAGAAATTGTCTTGGTCACATATAAAAAATATAATATAGTTAACGTATGTAAGTAGCAAAACCTCTTTTATTTTTAGGATGTAAACTTTTTTTTTTTTTAGTACTGGGGATCGAACTCGGATCCTTGTACTTGCGAGCCAGGAGGCAGAACCACTGAGCTAAATCCCCGGCCCTTTATTTTTAAAGTATATTAAAATAAAACAACACAAGCCCAAGTTTTAATAATTAAATAAGAAAAGTTATGGGCCAGGGATTTAGCACAGTGGTGCTGCCACCTGCCTTGCAAGCACAAGGTCCCAAGTTCGATCCCCAGTACCAAATAAATAAATAAATAAATAAATAAGAAAAGTTACATGTCAACTTACTAACAATAAATGCCTGTCTTCATAGATACACAAACATAATAGGTTGAAATACTAGTATTGGTAATTGTTGTATTTTACTCCCTAAGTTGCATGAATGCCTGTAATGTCTGATACACATGAATTTAAATTATGTGTGCTGAGTGTGGTGGCACACATAATCCTAGCACTCAGGAGCTGAGGCAGGAGGATCACCATGAATTCAAGGCCATCCTGGGCTACATAGTGAAACTCTATCTCAAAAAAACCAAACGGGCTGGGGATGTAGCTCAGTGACACATCCCCTGCCTGGCAAGCACAGGTCCTGATTTTGATCCCTGGTACCAAAATAAACAAACAACAGTTCAACTATGTCTGGCAAGTTCAAGAGGTAGAGTTAGTACTGCACTATGTCCTCCCCTACACTGCATTCCATTGCTACCTACAGTGTGCACTAGAGCACCACACAATTAAATCATAAAAAAAAATCACACAATGTTGCTATCTAGGGTAGTATGCACCCTGTGGGTCTATGTTGGACATGCTTGGTCTGAAAAAAGGTAGATAGATAGATAGATAGATAGACCAAACGGGAAAGTGAATGTCCAAAGCACTTTATATTCCCAAAAAGTGAACTTTAAGCCAAGCATAATGGCACATATCTGGAATCCCAGCTACACGGGGGACTCAGGCAGGGGGATCATAATTTCCAGGCCAGCTTGGTAAATGAGACCTTGTCTCAAAACAAAACATCAGTAGAAACTTAGAACTTTAAAAGTTCAATGTGCAAATGTCCATTAAAGTTCAGTGTTCAAATGAACTTTGTATTTTGTTTGCAATTCATGCCATTTACAATAATCTTGGGGAGTGTTTACAGGGACATATTACAACTTGAGTTTTTTTCTTCTAATCCCTTTCCCCCCTTCCCTCCCTGTCCCCCTCCTCTGCTGGTTCCCCTATCACCTTTTTACACCTTGTTGATATCATCTATCTTAGCACATGTTATGGTACATAATGTTTACTTTGGGGTTGTCAGGATCCTGTACATCTTTATTCTTCTCATTTCCCCTCCCCCCCTCCCCCTCATCCTTGTTCCCTTGGATTACTTCCCTATTGGCTGAGATCTGCCCCCTTGTCTCTTTTAACTTTAAAAAAGTTCTAAGTATTTTAATTTAAAATTAACTACCTCATTATTCCTCCTTGGTATAAGAATTAAGAATTGGCCATATCTTAAGTATAATTGTTTATATTCAGAAGTATATTTTGCATTCTTTCCCTATGCAGATCTCTCCCTTTGAATGATCTCTGCATTTTTCTATACAAAAAAATTTGGAGTTTTACATCATATTGTTTTATGTATGTAAATCTAATCTGTCCAATGAAGTACCCAGAATCCTCAAATAATAGAAATGTAATTTAGAAATACCTAAAAGACCACCAAAATACTTCAGTCAGTGAATTGCTTCATTCATGATTTATTCACTCAACATTTGAATGCCACCCTAAACTAGACAAAATGCTACATGCTAGAGACACAAAATCAAACAAAGCACATGACCATTGTGTATTAGTCACCTTTCTATTGATGGGATAAAATACCTGATAAACAACTTAAAGGAGGAAAGGTTTATTTTGGCTCATGGTTTCAGAAATTTCAGTCCATGGTCAGCCGACTGCAAGGCAAAACATCATAGTAGAAGGGCATGGTGGAGGAAAGCTGCTCACCTCATGGTACCCAGGAACCCAACAGTGAAAGAAAGAACCAGAGAACAGATACACCCTTCAGAGGCATGCCCCAGTGACCTTCCTCCAACCGCTAATAGCCCATTCACCTATGACTCATCAATGGGTTAATCCACTTATAGGGTTAGCACCCTCATCATCCAATCAGCTCTCTAGGCATTCCTTTATATAATCAAGCTGACAATCTAGATTAACCATCACACCCAGTCTTCAAGAAGTTTTCAGTCTAGGTGGTAGGAGATCAACCAGTCTAGAAGGTGGTATGCTTAGGGTGCCTGGGAACATAAGGACTTTGAAATCAAAGTAGGGTGAGGGGAAGCAGCAATGAAACATCTCTGATTGAGGACATGACATACTTGAAGACCAAGTAAAAAGAAAAAACTTCTAGATTATATCCCTGACGAAGTATGTTTAAATATATGAGATCACATTAGAAGCACAGTCCTTCTTTTAAGTTTGTTGAGTGGTGTCACTATCCCTAGGCCATCTGAGAAATCATTAAAAGGCCAGGGCCCCTGTGCCCACGCAGTGCTTGCTCTCAGCCTGGTGCTTCTGGTGGCCATCAGGGCTCTAGCCTGTTTTAACTTTTCCAATGCTGCTGCCTCTATCCCTGAGAGCACTGTTCCACTCAAATAGTTAAGTAGAATCCTCTTGTGCCTCCTTATACATTGCTGTTCCCAAATATAAGCCTGTAAAACTATTGCATTTAAGGTTTGATGTTCATTTCCATGGAGTATCAGAGGATAACAAGATGAAAAGAATGTAGTATGTCGGATCTCATCTTTGACTGCTCATTGACATTATCTGGGGAGCTTGGAAAGACACTTAATGATAGGTGTCACTCTAGACAATTTACACAGAGAATAGGGCTAAAATCCTTCACTATTTGTGATCAAAGTTCCCTTCCTTAACAAGGATGGTTCCTTTTCTAATGCTTTGATTTTGCTAAAAACCTAAAACGCTTGGTATTCAAATCATCATTAGGGCTATGTGCCCTTTCCCTAGAAGCAGCTAGATTGTGAAATTAAAAACAAAAACAAAAACAAAAACCAGTCTTCCAGTGATCAGAAAAAAAAAGTGAAAAAATATTCAGGAATTTGGACTGAATAAAAAAGGGAGGAAATCAGACATATCATAGAGTTAATAAGTATATTTTAAAAATACAATCAAGACTGGAAAATGTCTGTATTTTATCTTACAGATGTCCAGAGTGGGGAAGGGGGCAAAGTTCTGAAGGGAGGATTCAAGAAGGTTTAGACACTCTTCAAGGGACAGTAGTAGGGGATCTTACATGCTCAATACAGGGTGTATCTGACTTTTTTTTTTCCCTTTGAAATGACTGATTATTGTTTCTTTTGTTGTTGTTGGAGACAGGGTCTCATTATGTAGTTCAGGCTGGCCTTGAACTCAGTATGTAGCCCAGGCTGGCCTGGAACTCACAGCAATTCTGCCTTAGCCTCCCAAATGCTGGGATTACAGGCGTATACCACCATATCTGGCTAATTATTGTTTTTGTAAACCAAATTATCCATCCTCTTTTGTATCATTTAGCCACTGTATCTTATAAGTGCCTGCTATTTCTAAGAAAGTAGTAGATATCATTTGGGGCAAAGTATTTTTTTATAAAATAGGCCAAATGCAAATTATAGTAGACTAATAGTCCTGAACAATATCTTTCTAAAAAGTGAACTCAAATAACAGCATGTATTTGGGATAGACATGTATTGTTACATTTTAGAAACAAGATTTTATTATTTTATCTATTTTTAGGAGGAGTCCACAGTCCATCTAGGTCACATGTTGAAAGAAAATCACTGCCTTGTTGAACTACACATGTGTAAGCATGGTATAAAAAACTGCGGTTTCCATCAGTTATGCAATGCACTGTATCTGAACAGTAGCCTACGATACCTTGATGTCAGCTGGTGAGTGACAGTTTACATATTAATAATTCAAAATTCATGAGGACAATTTAAATCTTCACAGTACATAAGATACTTTGTTGTACACTATTTCCAATGATTAGAAAATGCAACCAGTTGCCAATCTTTTAGCCTAAGCCATAATATTTAGTTTAGAGTTGTATATTTTAATAACTTGAATGTATGATTTATGTTAACCAAAATGGGAGCAGTATTTCATGATGAATTTTCATTAACTTTCTTGGATATTGAGTGAACTAAAATAGAAAGAACTATTTATTATATGGTTTCAAATATCTTATTACTATGAATAAAAGAACAATACTTTGTATTTTCACATACTACTAATTATTTTTCCTTTCCCAGCAATAAAATAACTCGTGATGGAATGGTGTATTTAGCTGATGTACTGAAAACCAATGCTACCCTGGAAGTAATAGATCTTTCTTTTAACAGAATAGAAAATGCTGGTGCAAACTACCTCAGTGAATCTCTTACTTCACACAACAGGAGTCTTAAAGCGTTAGTATGGTTTTATATTTAATCAAAATAACAGAAAAACTTAAAGCTTTATACTAACCGCAAGGCCTTTTAAGATTATGACGAAATGTGAAAATTTGTTTTCTAAACTTCATTTTATTATTGTAAATAACTATTTTTCAAAAGTAATGTCTTTAAAAATTTGATTTTAATACTAGTTATAATTGTTAAAGTTCATGAGAAAATTCTTTTTTTATGAGAAAATTCTTATTGCTTACATTGTTTATCCAAAATTCTAACAGAAAAATCATAAGCATTAAATATTTGTATATTTGTAATCTAACCATTTACTGGATAACAGAACAATGGGTGCATTCTCCCTTTGTGGATCTACTGGTGTCCAGAATTATTACCTTCTGGTGTTTTTACAGATTGTCAGTAGTCAGCAACAACATAGAGGGAGAAGGACTTGTTGCACTTTCTCAATCAATGAAAACAAATCCTACACTATCTCATATCTACATCTGGGGAAACAAATTTGATGAGGCTACATGTGTGGTAAGTTTGTTTTTTTTCTTCACTGAAGGCTTTTTCTGAGATCTTCTCTATAATATCAGACATTATTTACAGGTGCTTTGGAAATAGTTACAAAGTATAACAAGACATTACAGTTTTAATAATTTTTAACATAAGACCTAAAATATTAGTACTATAAAGTTTCATGGTTGAAATAACAAAATATATCAAATACCATATAATATTATAAAGGTTTTTAAATTATACAGTTGCAATTTCTCAAAAGTAAACAAAATTACAATTATTGAGCTGATGTTGGGTAATTTCCAATCTGCTCTCAAATATTTATATCAAGGTAATTAGAAAGTACAAGCTGTAAAAAAGTTATTTGGTATACTGATCATATAACAAGAGCTCTCTATAGTAACTTCAAAACAAAAAGTATAGTGACAAATAGTTTTATTTTGCAAAAAATGAAGAAAAAAATAGACGTTAAAATTGGCAAGATTTGCAATAGGACTAAAATTCCACCAGCAACAGAGAAGTCAAATATATATTATGGTCTAAAAAACACCCATAATTTTAGAAAACATTCATATTTTTAGTGGTTCTACAAACTAGAAGCTGTGTATGTTAATTTTGTAAATAAAGTGCAGAGCAAACTAAACTATTAAATTTTTTAATGTCTACATTTCTGCCCCTTTTCTTATAACTGCAACTTTACTGAGAAACCAGTTCCACATGTTTATATCTAACATTATGGCCAGCATCCACTATTATAGAATTGTCTTTCTTAATGTAAATCTGCAGATTAGCTTCAGAGGGTTCATAAACTCCGGACAATTTTATGTCCACATCTGGAGCTCTGCTTCTTTCTCTGAGGAATAAGTCTTTAGCTATTACCAGATTTTTGAAAGCCCACAGAACAACCCTCCCTCTTGCCCAACACACCACCATTTAAGAATACCTTTGGGACTTGAAAATTTTGACCATGGGAACTTTGATCCACAAAGCCAGTAGTATCAAAAATTAACTCAAGGAATCACAAAATGACAAAACATATCTTATATATTAAAACTTAGAAATAAATTTTGCAATATTTTAATTTCATTGTGTGTAATTAAATAAATAAAAGCCAGCTGGGCGTGTTGGTACATGCCTGTAATCCCAGCACTTGGAAGGCTGAGGCCAGCCTGGGCTACACAGTTCAAGGCCAGCCTGACTTATACAGCAAGACCCTGTCTCAAAAACAAAAGCAAACAAAATAAAAATCTGCTTATAATATCTAAAAAATAGTAAAATTCAGCAGTTATTAAAAATGTTTTCAATAGCAAAGTAGCACAGCTAAATTGAGTATTTGCATTTAAGCACTGTAAATTGAGTAAGTTATATTCTTAATGATACAGTTTTTCTTAAAAATCCTAGGCATATTCAGATTTAATTCAAAAGGATCGTTTGAAGCCAGAAAATACTGATGTGGAGCCATTTGTGGTAGATGGACATGTGTATCTAGCAGAAGTCTCCAATGGCCTTAAAAAACATTACTATTGGACACCAACTTATGGAGATGCTTATGGGCACTCATCAAACTCAGGCTTTGCTCTTGTTCCAGTAGGTCAAAATTTATGAAAAATAAGCTATAAAATAATTTTCATACCATCTTACTTTTTACAGATTAATATTTTATAGCCTTTTTTCTTTCTTAAATTAGAATGAGTTGCTTTTATTAACTGTGTAAAGCTTTGTATAGCTGTTCATTGTGAAAAACTGTGTAATTTTAAAAAAAAATTTTACAATATAAAGATTAAAAACTTAACCCCAGAGAAGCCAAGGAACTAAATGAGTTCTTTGTATAATGAAAATATAACCAAGTAGTAAAATAACATAGGACAAGTAAAGGTCACTCTAGCTATCTTAACTGAAAGTTGTTATGATGTGGTAGAAAGGCCTCCGGTGGCAAATTCCCAGTGAATGTTGAGGAGTTTCAAAAGTTAAAAAAAAAAAAAAAAAAAAGTTCTAAAGTTGAAAAAGTATTCTACATGTCCTATTTAGGTGTTATAGATAGGTGCTAAGAGCATTTTCACAAGTTCATGCAAAAAAATATAAACCTGTATGTACCCTAGTCGAAAAGAAGTCAGTGCTGCCAGCTCCTCTACCCTCCTCTCATAGACAACCATTATCCTGACACTCAATACTAGTTTTGCCTATTTTTGAACTGTATATAAATGGAATCATATAGTATATGATCTTTTTATATCTCATTCTTTTGCTTGTAATTCATTCATATTGTTTAATATAGTAGTCCATTCAGTTTTCATTGCTTTGAAATATTCATCATGTGGTAGGTAGCAGAAAAGAATGGCCTTTTAAGATACAACATAATCAAATTAAAGTAAACCTTAGCAATGAAGCTTGTTTTCTCAGACTGCTGTCTATTTCTGTGTGCTATGAAAGGGACCAAGTTCCCATATTCTTGCGAGGGGACAGCTTACCTGAACCTGAAGTGGGAAGGCATGTGATAAACCTGTAATTTGACCTACATTGGACAGCTTGAGACAAAGCTGCAGGTGATATAGCCTCAGAGAACTTTCCACACCTGCAAGAACTAAGGAGTGGTTGCGTCGGCCAAGAAGTACAGGCTCTGACCAGGAAAGACCCGACAAAATTGTTTATAGGCCAATGTCTACTGCAGCAGAGACCAGTAGGATGCCCAGAGAATGGAAGAGCTTAAGACCCTGTCTGATTCCATTATGTCACATGAGCCCTCTCCATACATCTGGACACCATTTGAGAGACATCACAAAACGCAGAAATACACATTTTCCCAAAAGATTAAGCATTACCTTAGATACTTTAAGATATTATAAATTATATATGCTTTATATTAGAGAAAGTTTTCAACTGGCTAAGACCATAATTTTCTCTAGAATTATCACTACATAAGGGCTCAAGAAAAACATGTAAGTTCTGTAGGAAAACTCCATTGCCTCTGCACATCCAAATCACACTGAATATCTGCAACCATATTAGGTAACAGTCTTCCACTTTCCTCTTAGTAATCATCTTTTAAGATTCAGCTCAAATATAGCCTATTACAGTACGCTGTCATACATCCTATGTTCATCATTTTGTTTCAAATTTGAAAGCAATCAGCCCAGTACCACCAAAAGGAAAAAAAAGGCAAAAACCAAAATGGTATATACTTTTAAAATATTTGATAAAATAATGAATTTACCTAACACGTTCTCAAACTATTCATTCACTGTCTTCTTAATATCTACTACTCAAACCACATCCATAATAGTGGGCTCCTACTCCCACTGTTATATTGAAAAGGATAATCTTGCTCCAGTACCCAACTTAATGTCTGTTTTACATCTTATTTCCTATACCATGTGATCACTAAAAAGCCCCCTTTGACTTTGAAAAACCTGTGCCACTTTGGCTTTCTGATTTTTCTGTTATCACTTTTCATCTTTTTCTGTCTTTGCTCATCCTTCACATGCATTTCCCTTATGGTTTTCTCATCTCTTATTCTCCTATGCCATCTCCCAAACTGCCTTAATCACTTCTATAAATTAGTATGCCTACATGGATAGCTGTAAGATCTGCATCTCTAGCTTTAACTGCTTCTGGATTTCAGGCTTTATTTCTAATCACGGCTAGACATTTTTACTCATATATCTCACTCCCAGTCAAATGCAGTACAACCAAAAGTATCTTCCCTTCTCTGAACCTGCTCCTTTACCTATCTTACTTTCATAGTTGATGGCATACCATCTTCTCAATCAGAAGGATCAAAACTTATGAACTGGGTGTGGTGGCACACACCTATAATCCCAGCACATAACATATTGAGGCAGAAGGATCCCTGCAAGTTTGAGGCCAGCTTGGGCTACACAGTGAGTTCAAGACCAACCTGGACTACATAGCAAGACCCGGTTTAAAAAAAAAAAAAATTGTCTACTTTGGGGTTGTCTGACTGCCTGGAACAAAAACTGACTTGAGCCTGTTTAAGAAAGGGGGAACTAAAAGCAGAGTGTGGTGGCACTGATCTCTTCAGTCTATAAGAAAGAAATGTCTTCTAAAAGGTTTCTATGACTTGGTCCCCAAATACAGAAAATTGTGATCAAAGAAATCAGTATCAATAAACACATTAACTTTATTACAGGTATAGTTTAAAACTTGAAAACAAATAAGCACAACAATGCATGGCAAAAATAAGAAATAATGTCACAATAATGTTTAATCAATGATGTTTAATTATGTAAACTGACTACGTGAAAATGGTAATTTAAAGTCCAAAGATCAGGCAATGAAATAAATTAATATGTTGAAAAACTGGGATGGGGAATAGTAGTAGCAAATATCAGAATAATACTGAATTTTCTACATTCACTTGGAAGGAAAAGGACCACTGTGAAACTATGACAAACAAAAGCTGTGGTTTAATTTATAAAATTTGAAAACACAAAGCTTATAGAAAACTCAAATATAAAATGTTTAATAAACTAGCATTCTGATAACCCAGAATGTTAACTTATAATTGAAGTTAGTTTCTTTCTTTCTTTTTTTTTTTGTGTGTGGTGCTGGAGATGAAACCCAGGGCTTCAAACATGCTAACCAAGTTTCTTAACTATATAGTGTATCAAATTTAGAAGCCAAGCGATTTCAAGTATGTAGTGAATTTATATCTAGTAAATTTTTTATAATTTTATATTTATTTTTAAAAGTGCATAACAGGAATGAGGCTTATCAAAAATTTTCAAAACGTGGTATATATTCCTCACTTCCAATAATCTACAAACCTACTAAAATATAAACTGAATCAAAATTTGAAACTTTTGACTAGATAAAAACATCAAATACCTATTTAAAATTCATTTTGAAAATATAGTCTCAACTCAAATCAAAAATGCTGACTTCACTGACCACTGGTTTTCTCCAGAATGCTGAGTTCTAAATGAACAAAAATGTATTTACAGTTCTCTAGTTTTTAAGAGAAATACTCCTTTTGGTTTCATAAGAAAAGTTAAGTCTAATGAAACATTAAATAGCACAATTCTTTTTCAATGCCTAATTTTCATAATATTAATTTTCAGAAATATGAAATTTCATTTTTTCACCATAGTTTATGTATTGGTCTATGGCACAAATAGCAACATTTTGGCCTGATACTATCATGGATGTTGCTTAAATTTAAAGAGGAAAATAAAAAATTCCACAGGTGAAAAAAGACACACAAACTGATAATTGTATTTCACTAAATGAAGGGCAATTCTAAAATGCAAAATAAAAATGGAATTAAGGCAGTTTTAAAAGAGAATAAAAGTGCCAGGTGTAGTGGTGTGTGCCTATAATCCCAGCACTTGGGAGGCTGAGGCAGGAGGATCACTATGAGTTTGAGGCCAGCCTGGGCTACATGAGTCCAAGGCCAGCATGAATTACAGAGCGAGACCATTTCAAAAAAACCTAAAAAATTAAAAATTAAAAAAATAAAAGAAAAAAGTTATCCACCCAAAATAGTGCTTCCATGGTATAATTCAATCTTAAAAATCTTTGTGTATGTTCTAGACAGAAAAGCCAAAAATCAAAACAAACACTGCAGTTATGACGCAGCATCTGGTGCTTTTACTTCAGTGAATCAAAGTAATGGTCACAACCCAAACAAATGGAAGTTTAATATGAATATATGCACCTTAGCAGACACATTTATGCTTACTACCAGAGATGTCTTAGCAATTCTACATTCCTCACAACATCAGTATAATTGTTGTAAAAAAATCAATTGTGGTTCTGAATACCCATTCACAGTTGACCTCAACAATGTATCTGATGTAGGAGACTGATTATCTGTGACAGGCAGAAGCATGTGTTGGTCCTCAGTCCCAAGTGGAAGAGCTAGGGGTAGAGTCATATCAGAAGGCTTCACATCTATAGTTTCTGACAAAGGACTTTTCTGTATGGAATCCTGTTCATTCAAAGTATGATCCTCTGCACTGGACTCTAGAGTTTTATCTGCACCTGAAAAGGGGAAAAAATTTATACTATCTTTAAAAACAAAAGAAAACAAAATGCTTGAGGTAGACTAATCTACTTATCTTTCCCAGAAATCCCATACCAACCCCCATACCTTTGGGGAAACTGTTTCTCCAAATTCTTTTATTGATATGCCTGCTTTATTATCTATAAAAACTCAAATCTAGGTCTCAAGACAAGGTTCAAGCATCAGTTCCATTATAAAAATGGACTTAGCCACTTTACACCAGTGTGCTTTTTTTGCCTACTTCATTACATATTTGTTAAGTTTCAATATACTGCCCTGTACCATCTGTGTCTCCGATTGCTGTTTAACACTCTACTTAGGTATGAATTCTCAACTAGATTACAAATTCCTTGAGGATAAATGTTAATTAACTCCCTCAAAGTACTGAAGAGTGACATAGTAAACTCTATTTTTTCACTGAATGTTTTAATGAATTCCTACTATTCTGTAAGTTCAAGTTCAGATATATGGCACTTTCATATATTCTCAGAGGTAAAAAAATTCTGCTGTACTCAAGGGATCAATTATTGCTGATTAAATGTATGCACTTTTGCCTTGCACTTTCCTACTAGCTCTAACATGCTCCTGACACTTTAAAGTATTGACTGTATTTAAAGTATTTGTTTATTGTCCTTTTAAACAGACAAAATTGCATATTTGCTTGCATAAAATTGTAATTCTCTGCATTTTTCCCAGACTATAGTTTAACTAGTCAATACAACCTGTGCTTTTCTTTCACATCGACTTGTTACAATGTTCTCTGTCCTCCCTTCTCCATCTTCATCCTTGAACTCAAGTTCCCTAAAATTAAGCCTTTTCTAGTATCTCAGAAAAAACTTAGTATCTTCTTCAGCACTTTTATGTTTACTGTGTGTTTACCACATATTTTATTTATTTAGATTTCTAGTCTCTATACCAGTTATCTCTATCCCAGCTCTTGCTGGGACTATGCCTTGTGCACTTTATATTCTCTGTAGTTATATGCACCTCATACGCCACTTCATAAACAGTTATTGAAATAATGACAACTGCAGTTTTAGATTTTCTAATCTTAATCTTTATATTTATGCTTATTATGAGACTTACCGCCTTTACACACTAAAGAAGCTAATAATGTTTCTCATCATGACAATAAAATGATAAGCAAGTCTTCAAGGATTCATTTTAAGTAACATGCTCAACATTTTGCAGTCTGGCTTTCCACTTTTACATATTATAACAATTTGGGGCTGCTGGCTTCCCTATTTCCTCATATATTTCTAGACTTGTCTGGATGATAACCTTTTTCTTTATAGTAACCACAGAACCACAGTCAACCTTAGGTTACCCAGAGGGTTAACATGGGGAACAGTGATACTTAGCTTGCTTATAAATTCCTTCGTTCTTGAAACTGCTCACAAGTAAGGGTTTTAAAGAAGAAATAGTTCGAGCTTTTTTTTTTTTAATGAGCTAATATGAAAAGAAATGCAGAGGTGCACTTTTATGAAAATTATAAAGCTATTTTCCTTATAAGTGTGTGTATCTTTTTTTAAAAGTAGGTAACTAATTTAAACACACACTTACCAGAATGGACTTTTGTTTTGTGCTTCTTTAAATTTTTAATATCTGTATAAGAATTTCCACATAATTCACAGATAAATGGTCTTTCTCCTGAAAAACAAGTTAAAAGGTCAACATTTTCAAAACTGCTAAGACAAAATATCAATATTTATGAATGTAAGACAAAAATTATTATATGGTTTAAATTTCATTTCAATCTACCACTTAAATTACTTGGTTATAATACAGAGAAATGAGAAATTCTATACATATAAGCACTACTTTATAGAAAACTCAGCCCTATTTCAGGGAAAATTGAGCATTTTCATTATCTAAAATTTTTTGCAAACTGAAAAATAACCTACTGTTTTTCTTTCTATCAGATTTTTACTGAGTGTCAATTACATGCCAAACATTGGCTAAGAGACAAAGCTGGAGAAAAAAAAAATGTAATTATGGTTTCTGCTCTCAAGTACCTTACAAATTAGAAGATTCTTAAGAAACACTGACAATACTCTAACATATAATTCCTTAGAAATAAATACTACTCAGTGCTTTACACCATCAATCAAGGGACAAGGGAATATACACCAGAGATGGTGAACCTGTTAGAGCTCTCAATAATAACAAACAGCTGGGCTGTGGTACCTGTGCAACAGGCTGGTCACCACTGAGAAGTTGCCAATACATTTACTAAATCTCTACTAAGTATTCACATTTATCTAGGCAGGAATTATGAGGACAAACTTTTAAAAAGAAAAAGAACAATAGAGTTTGAAAGTGACATTTTTCTTTGTTTTGATTTTTTATATATAGTATTTTCTTCATACAACTTCACACTACTTTTTAACAAATGTGTCACTGTTAAAATTCATTTGTAATCACATACAAAAATATTTAATAAGAAAACGTGATGTCATCTTGGTATTTTCTATTACTTTTCCTTTCTTGGTATATCTGTGCAATTTAATCCAAATCATTTAAAAACGATTATCTGCATATTTTTTTGAAAATCTATGTAATTGTTGACCAAATTTCATTCATATTCCAAACAACTAAAAAAAAGTAAATAAAAAGTTGATATTTCTACATTAAGATATTGTTATACGTAAATTATGACTAGATACCATATAGTCCACAATGGTTTAAAGCCAAGGTTTACATTAAAAGAAATTAAGAGAGAACAAAAAATAATACGTTCTCCCTAAACACAGACCTGTATGGGATCGAAAGTGTTTGTTGAGCTCTCCTGAGGAAATAAAACTTTTCCCACAAATACCACATATGTATGGTTTTTCACCTAGATGGAAAATAAAAGATAGCGAAGTGGTGTACTATACCAATATAATATTTATCAATTACAATAATCTAAAGTAAGCTTTTCTAAAATATTAAATTAAAACCTCTCTATATTGGATTTTAGAGGTATTTTCAGCAATGCAACTTGAATGAGTTATTAATAATTAGTTTGAATTGTTCAAATAACCTGATAATTTCATATACTAAAACTTTATTCCTGTAAATGTCCCTTTAAGTAGAGATGAGTTGGGCAGGGATTCTGATTTTTATGTGATTAAGAACATGTAAATCTTGCTATCTATATATTATTAAAAGAGAATAATAGCATTTAAGGAAGATTCAATTTGAAACATACCCTATCAAAAAAAGAAACTCTAACCAATACAGTTTGCTGTAAAACATAATTTGCATTTGAGCTATATGTTTAAGTTGCAAATCTCAGAATGTCTCTGAAGGCAAGATCCTAAGAAACCATAAAAAACCCAAACCCATGCCCTACCTTTGACCTGTACAATTCTATCCAGGGGAAATAAATTCTCGAGGGGCTAAGGAGGTTTTCCAAATAATAAAAGGCCTCAATTTAAGAAATTATATTATCAAGATTATCTCACTGATTTTAATGTTTGTAAATCATATAATAAAAAATTTCACCCACCTTTTATTATTCTAGAAAATAAATCAGCTTTTATATCTCATATTTATGTGACAATCATAAATACAGCTTCAAGAACTACAAACAGATCTAACTACAAAATTCATAGTCTACCTTCTACAAAGGTCAGATTCCTCTTTATTTTTAACTTTCCTTATTTTAAGCAGTCTCTCCATTTTAAACTCTTACCTGTATGCTTTCGAGAATGAGTGATAAGAGAACTAGAAACAGCAAATGCCTTCCCACAAGTGTCACATACGTAAGGCTTTTCTCCCGTATGCCTACGGACATGATAGGTCAGTGTGCTAGCTTGTGCAAATCTCTGTCCACATCTATCACAAACATATGGCTTCTCTCCGCTATGCTTCCTGTTAACAAATATAAAGTTATATTCTGGTAAGTAAGACAATTGGGAAATCAATCCATATAGCAACCCTTTTTCATGCAACATTTTATTTCATTTCATCTTGGTAAGTTAAGACTATATATTTAAAATCAAGTTATTTTCTTATTGAAAAAAATGTTCTAGTTATTACCAAAACACTAGTTCTGATCAGTTCATCTTCATATGGTTGACAGTGGGCCCCTAACTTTGCAATTACTTTTTCTAGTCCATTCATTCTGACTTGTTAAAATTCCTCCCTCAAACCACAAGTACCTCTTCCTCATCCCCACTCCCAGCTGACATCTTGCTTCTTATTTCACTGAGAAAAATTTAATCAGAAAAAAATTTCTACCTACGAGCACCAATACAGTTTCTTTCCCTTCTGGTTAACTATAATATGAACATGACAGGTTATCTCAATCCAAAGACTCCATTTGGAAAGTATGTAAGATTCTACTCAATGATACCTTTCCTGTACTTTCCCCTGTTTTATGTCATTCATTCCTCTCCCTCTACTGGATCATAGCATAGAAATATACAAACATACTGATTTATACTGTTCCATCTTAACAAGAAGAAGATATGTGACTCCACTTGCTCCTTCATTTATCTCCCCTTTCACAAAAGTTTAGTCTCCAAAACTCATATTTCTATTTCTTCTTTACTGACCTCTACTAGCATCTCCTAACCATGCTTTCCTTCAAGAGCAATGTCAACCTCCCTCCAAGTCAATTCTTAGTCTTCATCTCCTTATCAGAATTTTACAGCTTACCATGCCCTGCTGGAATAGTATTTTTCACTTGGATCCCAGGGCCACCCACTTTCCTCCTATGTTTGTTGCCTCTTCTTAGTGACTACCTCTAACTGGTTTTTGCCCAATTTCCAGATCTCTTAAAGAGTGCCTCAGGACTTAATCTTTTTCCCATCCACATTCACTCTTTTGGTGAGCTCCTCTAGTGTTACAGTTTTAAATGCTATTTATATACTGATGTCTGCCAAATGTATTACCTTCAGCTCACACCAGTCTCAACTTCAGACTTAATCACTTGTCTATGGCATATCTCCATCTAGATGTGTAGTCGTCATTTTAAATTTAGCTTGTTCAGAACCATATTCATAAACTCCTAAACTCCCACTTAAAACTGCTCTCCCCATAACCTTTCTCCAACTTAGTTAATGGCAACTCCATCTTTTTAGATCCTTGCCTCCAAAACCTGAAATTATCTTTGACTTTTCTTTCAGGCATTACATCCAAGCTGTTCACAAGTTCTGTTAGTTCTACTGCTAATGTACCCAGAATCTGACTACTATTTATCTCCTTCACTGTTGTCACCCTGACCTGAGCCAGCATTACTCTCACTTGTTTTTTAGTTTCTTAACTCAATCCCAGTCTTTTCCTAACACAGTGGTACCTCGATACTTGTTAATTGGTTCTGGGAGGCGCAACAAGTACCAAACAAGTTGTTCTGGCTGGAAAGGGTGGCCAGTCACGAAGCAACTGACACCAACAAGTTCTAGCATGCCCATCAAGTACCAAACAAATGATGAACAAAATTTTCACATCAAAACAAAATTTTCTCATCAAAAGGTATGATTGTGTGGCAAGTACCCAGGTGATCCTCTTAAAATGTAAGCAAGATGATATCACTTATTTCTCAATGTCAAGAGGAAAAGCTTTACATGGCCTACAAAAAATTTTGTACCACCACTCTATCATCATCCTAATCTTAATTTCTAATTTTTCCCTTTTTATTTCCCTCTAACCATCATGGCTTCCTTGTGGCTCCTCAAATGTGCTAAGAATATTGTGCAGAGCAGTGATGGTGAACCTTTTAGAGACCAACTGGCAAACTGCAACCCAAGACTTATTTATCACAAAATGTCAACACTGCAATTAAAGCTGAATACTGAGGTTTTAGTTTAGAAAGACAGGCACAATAACACACGTGCCATAGGTTCGTCACCACTGGTATAGTGGAACCACAATTAACCCTGTCAAAAAAACAAAAACAAAAAACTCTACTGTCATGAATTCTAATACAATATACTGTACTCATAAGATTATGGTGATTAACTTAAGGCCAAACAACTTGTTTTTTTTACCTTGCATGAATCTTGAGATTGCTAGAAGTTGCAAACTGTAAATTGCATACATCACATTTATAAGGTTTTTCCTCACCATGATGCATTCGACTATGGAAGACAAGCTGGCATTTCTGGGCAAATCCTTTATCACATAATTCACATTTGTATGGCCTCTCACCTAAAAGAACAAGTAAATAAAAATTTCATTGAGAAGGAAAAAAGTCTTTCTTAGTTGCTAAAGTCATATAAGCTTTCAAAAGTGTTCATTAACACTATGTACTAGTTTTGGCTGGGCAAGGTGGTGCACGTCTCTAATCCTACCACTCAGGAAGCTGAGGCAGGAGGATGGCCTTAAGTTCGAGGCCACCCTGGGCTACATAGTGAGTTCAAGGCCAGTCTGAACTGCACAACAAGACCTTGTCTCAAAACAAAAACAGTACCAGTTTTGGTTTTAGTTGGTATGTGTGAAAATTGGCCAGAGTTGTAATTACATTTTCTCTTATTAGCTGTAATCTTTGCCTGTTAAATACTTAGCAAGGAATAATCAAGTTTATGCTTATTTTGAGAGAAAATATGAGAAGCTGATGTTATTAAATACTAACTACAAATAAATTTTCAATAGTGTAACAACACTAAATACTTTTACGAGCATGGCAAATTTTGGTCATAAATAGTCAACACTGTATATTAATATACTCTGTATAAAAATATTATTTTAGGCTTGGGGTGCAGCTCAGTGGTAGAGTGCTTAGCATGCACAAGGCCCTAGATTTAATTCCCAGCATCAAAAAAAAAAATTTTATCACAGTATAAAAAAAATTATTACCTCCCTACAAACCAGTCTTACCTGTATGAGTTCTTACATGTGTTTTCAGCTGATTACACTGGGTAAATGCCTTCCCACACAAGTGGCACACATAAGGTTTGACTCCTTTATGTATTCTCATGTGCCTTCTCAAACTGCTGGCTTCTGAAAATACTTTCCCACAGGTGTTACACATTGGCTTGGCCTTGGAATACTTCTGATCCAGCTCTTCCCCAGAATTCTCCAGCTCATAAGGACTCTTGACACTGGCTATATTAGACATAGAGTGTTCTTTCAGAGCACAATTTGGCTGTGATTTTCCACGTTTCTGTTTCACTGTAACAGTTTGCACAATATCTTGTGCTGGAAAAGTATTCTCCACAACTGATGTCAACTCAAGTTCTGAATTATTTCTTTGTGCAACTTGTTCAGCTACAGGTGTGGACAATTTATTTGCATCTAGGAATAATTCAACGGATGTGTTTTCTAAAATGTCACTGGGATATTGCATTGTTTTATTCTGCCCTGTTTTCTGGGAGTTGAAAGCTTTTTTCTTCTTTTTAGTTTGAGATGACTTCTTTGCTAAAGCCCCTTGTTTAGGATTTGCCTGAACTAAATCTGTAGATTCTTCTGATTTCTCCCGGTTGTTATAATCTCGTAGAGTAAGAAGACACGTCTGTTGATTCAATTCAATGTTTCCAGTAATACTAGATATCTCTGTAGAAGAGGGATTAGCAATAAAAGCAAAATCTTCCATTTTTATTTTACATTTAGTTACCACCTCTTCCACTTTGAGAAAGTCAGCAGCCTGATGAATTTCTTTAACATTCCAACTGTAAGAAAAAAAGGATAAATGACAGTATTCTGATCAAAGAAAAACTTTTTTTCGAAAGAGCTACATATGTATTACAATGTCTTTTAAAGCCCTAATAAAGCGGAATGGTGAAGAAGGTATAACTTAACAACATTTTACAAAATTTAATTCACTCAGCATGTTTAGGCAAAGATCTCCCATTTTACAGAACTTGGAAAAATGAAAAACTGGCAATTCATAGCTACCAATGGACTACTACAGAAAAGTAAAATGTTAAATTTTCTGGCTTAAAAAAATTCCTGGAACACAAAAATAATAGCTGGCTTCCTTCCATTCATTCTGAGGCCTCTTCAAATAGCAATCAACTTTTCTGGAATAGCAACAGGAAAGTCTAATGAAAATTGTTTCCTACTCCTTCTCCCTGCTTCTCTATGAGGGACTTTTTTCTTCTATTGTTTTATTTTTCTTTCTCTTATGTACTACAGATTCAACCCAAGGAACCTGCTATACAAGTGCAACAATGAGGGACTTTTAACTGGCTTATCAAATGTTACACTTGATCTTAGCCAAAAGGCCAAGAAGCGATGACTGGCTTATCAAATGTTAACTGTGCATGTGAATCACCCAGCGATCTTGTTAAATGAAATGAAATCCAAATTTGGCTAAGTCTGTGATGGGGCCTGAGAGTCTAGTTTTTGTAATTGAAAATAAAACTTGTACTTTACCTGTCAAGATTTAAAGTTCCTGTGTATATAAACTCCAACAATTTCTGAAATCCATCAGCCTTCACCTGACTCTGATCAAGAAAAACATTGTTTTCAGAAGTGCTTCTGTAGATCGCACCAAAATACTCACTAAACGAGGCGAGCACATTCCTATGGGCTTTAAACTGGAATTCCCCAATCACTATGGTGCAGTCACAAAGAAAACCTGCTTCTCGTTGTTTGTTCAGTCTCTCTAAAAGGTGCTCACAGTGGTGTGAATACTGCATTTTGATATCACGATGCAATTTTACCCTTGATCTAAAAGACGAAAAGAAATAGTAAATCAGCAACTATAAATTTTCACCAAACGTTTACCTAAACAATTGGGTAGGTAGGGGGAGAAAGGTCAGAGAACAACACAAACAATAAAGTTAGCTCTTGATTTATCCCTTATGAAAAGCCTTAATACCCACAGTTAAAAGTGCTGAAAGGATAAGTCTTTGTTTTACCTTTATCAAAAAAATGACGGTGAATGGAAACACTTATATGAGTTGGAAAAAGGACCACCAAATTCAAGCTATTACATCAATTGAACCCTCAAACTTTCAAGCTCAGTAGGTATACATATGTTAGGAAAAAGAGACACTATTAAGAAATGACTCCTTGGGACATATGGAAGGGAAAACACAGTGTGAGTTTTTAAAAAACTGTTCGAAAATCACCGAAAGCTCTTAGCTCCGCTGTGGTTTCTCTAAAGCGAAGGGAGGGTGCCCAGGGGGCGGGGACTGCGCCGAGTCAAGGGTTGTCAAAGTGCTGTCACCCTCCCCGAAGAGGCCACACCTCCCTCCCCCTCTCTCCACGCGAGGCGGTGTCGGAAAGTGACAACCAATGCCAGATCTCGTGCGTTTCTGCTGCCCTGTCCTCCGCCCAGCTCCCACTCCCGCGAATTGCCACAACACAGGCTGTGGTCTGAACCACCGCCGAGGCTGCTTCGACTAAGCCTTCCGTCTCGCGCCGCGACTCGCTCTCGAATTCTAAGGAGCCTGCCCTCGAATGGCCCAGGGTCTGCAGGGTACAAGGATGGAGGGCAGCGGATGGGGTGGACACTCACCAATAGCCACCCAGGAAGAACAGTTTCTTCACTCTCTCTCCGCCATCTTGGGAGGACGTCACGCGTCACGCCCCGCCTCTCCCTTCTTCCTCCACGGCGGCGTCACATCCGGCTCCGTGGTGCCTTGGCAACCTAGGCGGCTCTGGGGTTGTGGAGGTCCAGCACCCGCTAGGGCCGACCAGCTGGCCCTCAAAGCTCCGATTGCCCAGCATGCCAGGGGCCTGGGAACTGCAGGCGTCAGGGATACGAGACCTAAGGGCTCGTTCTCAGCACTGCGTCCGTCTTCCTCCTGCTGAGCATTCCGGTCGGCCGTCAGTCAGCCAGTAGCGGTCGGCCGGGTTCCAGAGCGAGACCAGGCAGCGCGGCCTCGCCGGCCTCCGCAGGAGCCACACTGCGCATTGCATGCTGGGGCTTGTAGTTCCTCGTCTTCTCCCACCATCCTCCCTTTCCTCGGGCCCCGCCAGTGGAAACCACTGCTTTGTGTACTCTGGCTTTCGGGCAGGCGGGACGTCTGAACTAAGGCCGATCACCCTTTTCCCCTTTACGTACCCGAAGGCTCCTGGAACACCCTGGGTTTGGTTTTTCGCCAGCCAACTGTAATTCCGCTTGCAGGATGCCCTTACCTGGTGATAGAAGTCGGAGACGCACCAAAGCAGAGCAAAGCAGTAGGGTGCGGCGGGCATGCGCAACATTAGAGGAAGGTGGGCTTTATACCGGAAAAGGTTTTCCCGCGTCTGGACTAGAACAATTTTAATAAAATCATTTACATCGAATTTGGGTATTGTACAGTGAGGGAAAAAGATACTAGCTCTGTAATACACAAAGGTATTAAAAAATAAATCTCCCTGATATATTAGGGATAGTTTTCTCAGTAGCCTTGAACACCATAAATCTCAGAAAACGACAATTTAAAGCTTTTTTCTAGTTAAAAGTATGTGTCAGAACCTTAGGGAATTTACTCGTGACTTTATTCTAAAGGACAATTTCAACCTGGATTCTTTATTTTGTCGGGTGTTTTTTCCTACCAAATTCTCTATAAATTCTGACCAAGAATAGTTTTTATGACTAAAACCACAGCCGTTATGTTTATTAAATGTTTTTGAGGCTAGTTCTTTCTTGATTTCAACTTTCTGAGTATAACTTTTTTTTCTGATTCCACCTTTGTCAGACATGTTTTCAATAATTCAGAAATGTATGAGCCTAACATGACATTATATGATAAAAGTCTCCATACCTTTAGGGGAAAATGTAATCTACAAGATAAAACTAAATGACATGGCATAAAGAATGCACAGGAGGCGATAAGTTCTGCAAATTGTTAGGGAGGTCGTATGTTTTGAAAGATCATCACATCTAACCTTTATCTCGGGGTGCGGTTAAAAGCATTTGTTTCCGCCCGGTTTCGAACCGGGGACCTTTCGCGTGTTAGGCGAACGTGATAACCACTACACTACGGAAACTCCGCTGACACAGAGTCTCCAAAAAGCCCTTGATATATATATATATATATATGTTAACACGTAACTCGCAAAATTAATGTGTTTTTTAAAAGAAAAACTGATAAAAAGAAAACCATATGCTCAGTTGAACCGCGCTGAAATTACTTAAGTTTTCAGTTGAGTGCGCCTTATTACAAAGTCCCCTAGTACTGCAGTAGAGAGTATGCTCCCGCTGGCTGCCCGCGTTGGGATACACCTTCCCTCCGGGCAGAAGCGTCAGCCCTGCCAGCTCAGCCCGGGCCAGGGGCGGGGCTTCGCGGGCGCGCGGCGCGTGGGTGCGCGAGTGGGCGCCGCAGGGGCGCGCCGCTCCACCTTCCTAGCTGTACTGTCAGCCTCCCGGGGAGGAGGGGAGGGACACGTATCAGTTATTTTTGAGCACCCTCCTAGGTGTTTCTAAGGACCCGAGATTCTCATTTGTGTACTTGTTTCAAACATTCCCTAGAGATTGTTCCAAACCGAGCCACACAAGGTACTTTTTTCTGAACCTGAACTTCGTGTGGCCTAAGCACGTTCACTTTTCTCGCAAAGGGGCAGACAGATCCTTAGGATTGAAAACCAGGACTGGGGAATGAGTGTAATTGCTCGAGGACCGAGGGCTATAATCCAAAGAGATTGTTACGAATTTTTAAAGTGAGGTTCTGTCATTTTGGGCTTTTTTTGTTTTGTTTTTGGTATCGGAGATTGAACTCGGGTCCTTGCGCTTGCGCAGCAGGCAGTGAAACCACTGAGCTAAATCCCCGGCCCTGTCATTTTGTTTTTTAAAATAATTCTTAAAGATTTTTATTAGTACACTTTGCAGTATATGATTACATTCGTCGTGGGGAGTTGGTACGTAACCCATCTGAATTCTCTTTTCCTTCCCCTTCCCCTATCCTTCGGTCCCCTTGCCATTTTAATTAGGTACATTTTTAGAAACCACAGGCGCGTGATAAAGTACTCCCCCAGGGTACAGAGGCAGTACTAAAAGTGTAAAATCATTTTACATCCCAGCATTTTTCCTTTTTCCTAGAAGCCGACCATTTCAGAGGCTCCCTCGCCCCTTCCAGGGCCCGAGGGCCCTGTTCGTAAGAATTCACAGCTTTGGGACAGTCTGTTTCCCAGCTTTCCGAGGCGTGGGAGACATCTGTGAAGGGTTAGCCCGCATCTTTGGGAGGGTTGCCGGGTTCCCCGCTTGGGTCCTCGGTCTCCAGGGGCCCCCGGGCTCTGTGACGCGCGTTCCCGGCCGGCGCCCCGAGGAGCCTGAGGCGGGAGCTGCCGACGGCTCCGGAAGCCACCTGGGCGGCGGCATGAGCTTCTCCCTGCGCCCCGTGGTGATCGACAACGGCTCGGAAGTGATCAAGGCGGGCCTGGCCGGGAACTGCGGGCCCCACTTCGTCTACGCGAACATAGTCGGCCGCCCCAAGGGTCACAGCTTGGCGGTCGAGGGCGCGCGGAAGCTGTGGGTGGGCGACGAAGCGGAGGAGAGGAGAAGCTTGCTGTCGGTCAGGTAGCGACAGCGTCTTCCCCTCCGCTCGTCCCTCTCGGATCTGGGGGCGGGCGAGCCCAGAGATGGGGTGCGACTCGGTGCGGAAGGACCGGAGCGTTCCGCTGGCCGGCCTCATTAAATTAGGCGGGCCACAAACCTAGGGAACCAAAGTCTGAAGACCACGTAATTTGTTCTCTGTATCTGTACAGATGTATTCAAACGCAAAAAGTTGGTGATAAGCGAGTTCATTTTAAAATGTTAAGTAATTTAAGGTACTTTTGTCATTTGGGGTTTTCTCTTCAATGAATTGATGTCAAAACTATACTACAATGGGGTAGATTCCCATTTTTTTTTTTTTAAATACACCATCTTCCAAAGAGGAGAAAATAAAATGGAAAGCAATAAATAATTGCAGAGGAAGGTAGGTACGCTAACGTTTGCTGACGATTACTTTCTCTGAGAGGCTGAGGCAGTTACTGCCTATGAAGGGGTACTAGTACTAAATACGAGAATTAGCAGATATTGAAGAGAGTAGAAGTTGGAAAAATTAAAAGCTACCATTTATCTTCTTGCTCTCCCTACAGCTATCCTGTGGAGCGTGGTCTCATCACTTCCTGGGGGGACATGGAGACAGTGTGGAAGCATATCTATGACTGTAATCTGAAACTAAAGCCCTGTGATGGCCCAGTCTTGATTACTGAGCCAGCACTGAATCCATTGGTCAACCGGCAACAAATCATTGAAGTTTTTTTTGAGCATCTGGGTGTCCCTGCTTTCTATATGTCCACCCAAGCTTTGCTGGCTCTCTTTGCTGCTGGCTTCACTACTGGCTTGGTGCTGAATTCGGGTGCCGGGCTTACCCAGTGTGTGCCAGTCTTTGAGGGTTACTGTCTGCCTTATGGCGTACAACAGCTACATCTGGCAGGCCTTGACCTCACCAACTACCTCAAGATGCTGCTGATGGACCACGGAGTCACGCTGCTTAGTGGTGCAGACAGAAAGACTGTCGCAGACATTAAGGAGAACTTTTGTTATGTGGCAGTGAACTATGAAGAGGAAATGGCCAAGAAATCCCATTCCCTAGAGAAAGTTTACGAACTACCTGATGGAATAACCATCAAGCTCCACGATCAGCTCTTTCGTTGTCCAGAGGCCCTCTTCTCTCCATGTCTCATGAACATTGATGCCCCTGGCATCGATAAGATGTGCTTCAGCAGTGTAATGAAATGCGACACAGATCTGAGGAATTCCTTCTTCTCCAATATTGTCCTTGCTGGGGGATCAGCCTCCTTCCCTGGCTTAGACCAGCGGCTATTTAAAGATATAGCAAAGATGGTGCCTGCTAACACACCTGTACAGGTTGCAGCTCCCTCAGAAAGGAAATTGTCAGTGTGGATGGGGGGTTCTATTCTTGCCTCCCTGTCTGCCTTCCAAGACATGTGGATCACTGCTGCAGAATTCAAAGAAGTTGGACCCAACATAGTACACCAAAGATGCTTCTGAAATACAGATAAAGTGGTTAGAAGAAAACACTTTGAGGTATATCCAACAAGGTTTTGGATATTATGTTCCTGGCAGAACACAAAAATATTTCAACTACTGGGATGTTCATGTCTCTGTTATATTTCTATAATGGGAATAATTACGGTGATAATAATAATGGTCAAACAGTTTACTGAGTAGAATCAAGTTACATACTGGAGGAAACACTATTCTTTACCTTGGAGAGAGCATACATTTTTTTCTTGGAGAGAAAGTGATTTGTGATACGATATGCTGTGTGCCAAATGAGTGATGATTTAAGTTTGTTGAAGTTTAGGGAAAGAAGGTTGGTGTGGTGAGGAAAGTCTTTGTAACAGGTATGATGGAAAGGGTGAAGGAAAAGACAGTCTGTGTCCACACAGGCTAATGGAGTGGGCAGAGCGCTAGAGAGGAGGATGAATAAAGCATGCTGAAGATGTACTTAATTATTGAAATGAAGTGCTCTTGTGGAGCAGAGGAAGCGCTATGACTAGGAAGGTAAATTAAGGCCAAGAACTGAAAGCCACTAAGTGTTAAATTCCTTTGGGTAAAAGAGAGCATCTAAAGATTTAAAAGCAGTAGACAAATGAAATTACATTAAGATGAATGTGGTGGTAGTTTGGAGAATAAACTTGAGTAGTCCCAGGAGATTCAGTAATCTGAAAGTTATAGTTCAGATGTAAAGTAGCTACCTCTCATGAGCAAAATTATAAGCAATAGGAATTAAAAAGATGAAATTACAAAAACTGACAAGACTTGGTACCTGATTAGACAGACATGAAGGGGAAAGACAGGTACGACACAGGGACTAGCAACCCTATTTTATAGAGGAGGAAATTTGCCTTCAAAATGTTAAAATTTGCTTATATCATGCAGTAGGTGTCAGAGTCTGAACGTAAACACATATTTTATCCCCAATTCAAATAGAAAGGTAATCTATTAGTTTTAAATTCTAGCTGTTCTTCAAATATTGCCCCAAAGCCTTAATTATCAGAAAGACTTCCTTGAGTTCTGAACTGGTATTGAAACTTGCTTATAAAACAGAATTTAGCTGGGCATGGTGGCACATGCCTGTGACCCAGCACTTGGAAGGCTGAGGCAGGAGGATCACCGTAGTTTGAGGCCAGCCTGGGCCACATAGTGTGTCCAAGGTCAACCTGAACTGCATAGCAAGACCCTGTCTCAAAAGACAAAACAAAACAAAAATCAAATTAGAGAATTTACAGCTCCAGTACAGATACCTCCTCCTCTGTGACATCTAAAGGATTTCTTTGTGTTGTGCACCACATTCTTGTACTTCTGTTGACCACTTTATGAGATGACCTGGGTAGCTGAGAGAATGGTGAAATACTGTCATATAATCCAAACTATTTAGTATCTGCTGTACAGAAGGTACTGTGCTGAGTGCCATGAGTGTTAATTCAGGCATTAGAACCCATACTTAAGAAGCCAAGCCAGGTGCAACCAGATGTACCTGTAGTCCCAAGGTACTCAGTAGGCGAGGCAGGAGGATCACTTGAGTCCAGAAGTTTAAGGCCAGCCTGGGCAACAGTGAGACCTGACCTCTTTATGTTAATAAATATGCCAAAAACCTAGTAAAAGAGGCAGAATTCATACTTAGATTATAATCATGTATGGCAGAAAGTAATTTTAGTGTTCTAAGAAGAATAGAATATTCTGGGGGCTCAATATCAGTTGAGAACTCAGGAAGTCTTTCTGACAGCTATGGCTTTGGGGAAATATTTGAAGGACAGTTAGCATTTAAACCTAATGCAGTGCTTTTTTATCTGAATTAGGAGCAAAATATATCTTTAGGTTCAGACTCTGCCACCTACTGCATGATTTAAGCAAGTTTAAGCATTGTGAAGATACAATTCCTCATCCATGAAATAATGCTGCTAATTCCTATGTCTCACAGGATCATTGTGAATTTCTATGGGACAGCATACTTTTAAAGGCACTTTAAAAATACAATAAACTGTCATTTTTTGCATATAAAATTAGAGAATTTATGGGTCCAGTTCAGATACTTCCTCCTGCATGTCATCTAAAGGGTTTCTTTGTGTTGTCCACCACCTTGGTGGGCTTCTCTTGACCACTGTACTTACGCAGAGCTATTTTTTGGTTTGCTTCTTGCTCACTAGATACACTCTTAGAAGAAGGGATTGTGGAATTTTGCTTTTCATTTCCATCCTCTTCCCTGGTGCCTTCTTTGCTGCACTCCCAGGAGGCAGGTAAAAATATGGGATGGCCAGCATCACCTCCCACAACTCCCCCAGAGAGGAGCAGAGGTGTCACAGTGATGGCTGGGTCAGAAAGTAGGAAGCAACTCAGCTTGGTCTGAGTCCAGCATGTGTGAAGGGGGGGGGGCTTTCATTTCCTGGTGTGAGTGCCCATGTTAGTGTGAGGAGTAGGAAATGAGCATGGGAGCACAGTTTGAGCAGCTGATGTGCACTCGCACATTTTACAAATGATGTAGAGCAGAGGATACCACCCTTTCATGTTATAATTCTTGGAGCACTGTGTCCTTTTAAACAATATAGGGCTAACCATACATGATCTAATTTACACTTCAACATCCCAGAGAACTAGGCAAGATATCTTATTCCCATTTTACAAATTAAGGAATTGAGATTTAAAGAGGTTAAGAGATCTCAGTTTAAAGTGACCCCCAAGTAGCTTGCTTAACTGGTCAGGAACACAATCCTCAATCAATAAATAATCTTAGGCAATTATCTGAGCAGCCAGCCTGGATTACGCCATAGACTTTAACCTTTTCCACGGGTCATAGTTGCCGATCCTTTTCAGGTAAATCTATGGAAAAGGAATGAAATGTGAAAATTCCATTTATATCTGGCTGTCCTTAAAATAGTCACAAACCAGCCTCCTTTATCTCCTTCTTCTTCTTTCAAATGGAGGGTCAATAGCAACAACTCCTTGGAGTTCACCTAGCTGAATAAGAGGAACACTTTTTAACATGCAAAATTGCATTATACTGGCCATGATTAAAGTCTGCTGCAATTTATGATGGATTATTCCTCTTTTACTTTATCATGACACAGTGTTACCTTAATTAAAGAAAATCCAATGACTGAAAAGCCTTTCTATCCTAATAAAAAGGAGATTCAGTTGTTAATATTAAGAATGAAGTAGTCACATCACCAGGAAGCTCAATAATGACACAGCAAGAAACCAGTCCCTCACTCTTTGGTCCTTGGTTCTTTTGTGCCCTTGATGAAAGATTTCAGTCCAATTACATAGTCAGCCCTGCAGGCGGATAGGTAGAATTTATTGTAAAGAAAGATACAGAGAGTTATGGCTTCAAGGGAGAAGGTGGGAAGTGTTGCAAAGACATCCATTTTCAGTGTGAGTTTGGATACTTTTCATGTGCACAAGAATTAGTGTGGTGATTATGATGTATATTGACATTTTTCTTGGAGGTTGCTTGGGAATGTTGATATCTCAAAAACGTCTTCCTTGTTCTCTTCATGTGGCCTGTGTTCCTTTAGGGGCTTTCATTGTATAAATCAGGATTTAGCCCAAGGAGGGAAGGTCTCTAATGAATCCTCCTTTTTCTGATAACATTGGATTTAGGCCCTGGCACCCAGGAATGCTGTATCCCTCATTTTGGAATTAGACAGATGGTGGCCAGACATGGGAAGGAGTGTGAATGTGTACAGTGAAAACCTTAAAATGACAGTGTACTCTGTGGGATGTGGGATCGATTTTGGTTTGAGACCTAACAGTTCATCATAAATGTATTATATATTGAAGTCTTTCTTCCTTCTTTCCTTCTTTCTTTCTTTTTTGAGACAGGATCTCTCTTTATGTAGCTCAAGCTGTCCTTGAGCTATGTAGCCCAAGCTGGCCATTCTCCAAGACACTGCTGCCTCAGCCTTCTGAGTACTGGGATTATAGGTGTGCGCCACCATGCCCAGCTTCGTTTCTTAACTGTAACTGGAAAAATGTGCTATTTTGGACTTCCCTTCTTTCCCTTAGGCCTGCTCATGTCTAACTACCTGCCTAACAGTTATGTTATCAGACAGGATCCAAGGAGATCCCTAACTCAGAGATAGGAAGCTAGACTCATCTCGCCCACTCATCGGGCACTCTATAGGTTTGCCGACTTCCATTACAGAAAAAGAATTTTCAGGATGCGCCAGTAAGAGGCAAAAAGGGATTTTTTCGGCAGAGTTTGAAAAGTACACACTCAAAGAAATAAGAGCGTGGGCCTTCAAAAGGGAATGAGGCATCTTATAGTCTAAAGCTGGGAGTATTTATGTATTTTGTTGCTTTGTTTTCTTTCTGAGACAAGGTCTTGCTGTGTAGTGCAGGCTTGCCTTACGCTCACAATGGAGCCCAAGCTGGCTTCCAACTAGTGGCAACTCTCCTGCTTAGCCTCTTGAGTGCTGGGATTACGGGCATGCACCACCATGCCTGGCTATTTATGCATTCTTAGAGGATGGAAATCTGTGGAATTTGTGAATCTATAAAAAGTTTAGGTTTGGTTTACTATAGGAAAAAATACTGGCCCACCCACAAGCGGGAAGATAACAGCTATTTTATAGGAGAAAGGCATGGGCCCAATATTTTGTGTATATATTTTAAGATGGGTGATCTGTTTTGCCTGAAAAGTTCTTTGAACTCTCTCAATCTGTTTCTTTAAGATCTTTACTAACTAAGCTAATTTATGGACTTCAAGGGATTTTGAGTATGATGGGCCTGGAAGAAAAGGAGCATAAACGAAGCTAGTGAGTATAGATATAAATAACCTTGGGTAGTCTTGTGCCCTGAAATCACAGTATTCTTAAAAATACAATTTTAAGTTATGATTTTTCAACTGGGCATGGTGGAGCCCACCTGTATCCCAGGCTTGGGAGGCTGAGGCAGCAGGATCATTTGGAGGTTGAGGCCAGTGTGGGCTACACAGTGAATTCAAGGCCAGGCTGAATTACATAGCAAGACCCTGTCTCAAAATAAATAATTTTCCTTTCTACCTATCTTTGAAAGATTTTTTTCATAGGAACTTCATTTTTATTAGTACATGTTTCTGTTACATAATGAATACATTCATCCTGGGGAGTTGGTACAAGAATATATGTACAATTTCTTCTTCCATCTCTAGATTCCCCCTCTAATCTGCTAAAGATCTACTTCCCTGTTGTCTTTTATTTTGTTCTTTAAATTATTTATACTTACTTCTTCTATCCTACCTCAGTTACATTTAATAAAACCTGTCCTCTGATCAAGGAGAAGCTGAAGGAGAAAGTGTTCCAAGTAGGTCACCCTAGGTCCCTAAAGACAGATCTGGCCAACTTCCCAAAAGATGGTAAAGTAAAATATTTTAAACGGTTCTGCCAATAAGCCCAAGACATTTTCCTGGCCTTGCTGTATCCTGCCTGCACAATAAACAGAAAAATCTTTAAAACAGTAATTGATTGACTGATTAACTGACTGATTGTGACTTGAGACCAGAATTCGCTATATATTCCAGGCTGGCCTCAAACTCCTGAAATCCTACTGCCTCAGCTTCCCCAGTGCTGGGATTGATTACAAGTGAGAGCCCACCACGTCCAGCTTTATTAAAACATTTTTAGAAAGAAAAAGGCGCTTTGAAGCCCCCCAAGTCAGTTTCACCTTAAAGTACTTGGAAGACCCAAAGCTTCTCCCAATACGTGGGAGGAGTGGCACGTGCCTTCCTGACCGGAAGTGGAGATTTAATTTTTTTTTTTTGCGCGAGATCAAGCCTCGCGAGAGCCGTGGCAAGCCTTCAGCCAATCCGAATGTGCGCCGACTATCCTCTTTATAAAGAGCCTCTGTGAGCCGCTCCGCGGGTTGAGGCGGGTGGGCCGAGAGGGGTGGTGGCCTCTTTTCTTCTAACCCTAAATACGAAGGGGACGTAGGCGCCGTGCTTTTGTTCCCCGCGCGCTGTTTTTCTCGCTGGCTTTCAGCGTGCGGAAAAGCCTTGGCCTAACGTCGACCACTGTCTAGTTAGAAAAAAACAAAAAATGTCAGCGTGGCCGGTCCGCCCCTCCCGGGGACCTGCGGCGGCTCGCCCGCCCGGCCCCCGAGCCCTGCCTAGGGCCGCGGCCGGCGCGGGGCTTCTCCGGAGGTGCCCATGGCCGCCGCGAAGAGTTCGTCTCTGTCAGCCGCGGGTCGCTTGGGGGCCGCGGGCAGGCTCGGGCCATGTGGCCGCAGGGAGAGAAACGGAGCCGGTCCCCGCGCCCGTGCGCTTCCCTGAGCTGTGGAAAGTGCACCCGGGACTCGGCTCCTACAAGCAGCCGCTCCAGGTGGGGACCCTGATTGTTCGCTTCCCTCAGCCCGCACCATCAGTGGTGTATTGCCCACAAGCGGGGAGGATTGGGCCCAAAGGAGTGGGCAGTGAGCCGAGCCAGGCGATAAACATTGTGTAGGCTTCTCCCCCGCAACCACCCCCGTCCTGTTTGTCCTTGCATTAACAGTCGATTCCTGCTTTGCAGATTTTATAGGGCTTTTGCCTCTTGCAAAGTAGCTCGCCACCAGCCTTCTCAATACCGTGTAGAAGAGCAGCAACTTTTTTTTTTTTTTTTTCCAGTTTTCTGAGAGGAGGTGTTGCTATGTAGTTCAGGCTGGCCTTGAACTCACTATATAGCTCAGATTGGCCCTGAACTCATGGTAGTCCTGCCTCAGCCTCCCAAGTGCTGGAATTACAGGCTTGCGCCGCCACTCCCAGAATGTGTGTGTGTGTGAGGTTATCAGACATTTCATAAATAATTAGGTGATCTAGTTTTTTTCTTTTATTTGAGGCAGTCTCACTGTAGTTCAGGCTGACCTTAAACTCACTGCCTGTCGTTGAAATAGCAGGGATTCTCCTTCCTCAGACTACAGGCATGCACTACTACACCCGACTATCTAGTAGTTTTCCAAAGGAAAGTTGTGTTCCGTAATTGTTACTTTTTCATCTTTGTCTCTGCCCTTAGGTGTGAAGTACTAAATGGAGAAAGTTCACAGAATCCATATGCCTTCTCTGCACCCCACCCCCCACGCATACCCCGTCCCCCTCATTTGAGTCTTTTTCTTCAGAAAAGGAAATGAGAAAATGATCCATTTGCTAAACAACCGTCAGGCAACTCAACTCCATTTTTGTGTGAATATTTTTAGGTCGCTTTTCCAGGGGTGGTTGCCGAGAGAGATGGCCAGGGGCCTGCTTGTAAAAGCAAGCCATCAGATACTGAAGAGTCCTACTCCTGATAATTGAGAGGATAGGGCGTGTCACCTCAGTAGATTTAGGAAGATGTATATAGCATTTTAGTCTGTTATTTAAAGTAGGTTCCTCAGAGTTGTTTGACAAATACATTACTTAACATTAAGGTTAAGAGGCGATTGAAACTCACTATCGCTGTGGCTGGTAATGTCAGAAAAGAAGAAAAGGGCCAGGGATTTAGCTCAGTGGTTCCAGTGCCTGCCTCGAAAGCGCAAGGTCCTGAGTTCGATCCCCAGTACCAAAAAAAAAGGAGAAAGAAATGTTCTCCAATCAGCATAGTTTTGTGAATAAGAATTTGCACAAGGAATGAAGTTCTAGTATTGATTTTGCTAATGACATCTCTAGATGCTTGAGGAAGTAACTTCTTTGAGTCCCTTTTATTGCATCATCACCTTTGCAGACTGCCATAGTTGCTGGAACTAGAGATAAATAGATGCGTTTTGTTACTGCTCCACCTAGTGGTGCTTTTGCTTCTCCACGTTTACAAAATCTTTGCTACCCTGGTGTAGGCCTTGAGGGAAGGATGACCATAGACCACCCACCCGCAATGCATTCTATGCAAGTATTCTACTTCTGAACTGTAGGCCCAGCCCTGTTATTATTTTGAGACAGGGTCCTACAAAGTTGAATAGGCTGACCTAGAACTTATCCTCCCAGCTCAGCCTCCCAAGTTGCTGGCATTATAGGCATGCATCACCATGCTTGGCTCTTTTCTCTCATTAAAAAAAAAAAGAAAATAGTGATTTAATAAATTCAACTTTGAGCCAGGGATTTAGCACAGTGGCATCACGCCTGCCTTGCAAGTGCAAGGTCCTGAGTTCAATCCCCGGTACCAAAAAAAAAAAATTCAACTTTGAAATAAGTGCACAGGTGTTGTCTAGCTCCCTCTGATTAATGTCTATTATAAACCTTCCAAAGGAAAATTCTCTTAGTATTACAAATATTTAATGTAGTTTTCCTTTTTGGCAAAGTGAGTCTATAATTTTGGAGTGAGAAGCAGCCCTTGAGTTCATCCAATGAGATAATTTATGTGCAAACCTTTTGTAGATAATAGATAATCATGGCAAATATTTATTTCCTTAAGATTTAAATGGCTCTAGAAGGTACAGAAACTGATGTTTACAGGAGTTGAAATTAGTCATTTAAGTTAATTTTTTGCAGAGTTAGGACCAGCAACTAGACCTTTCAATTTCCAGTTCTGTGTTCTCTTCATTTTGTTACATCTAGGCTGTGATGGCTAGTGGAAAAGATAACATTTACTCCAATATCATTTTCTGGTGTAACAAAACAACATTCTTCATGGTTATTTGGTTATGTCCTTGGTTTCCAACCTGTATCCACTTCCCTCCCAAACTTAGGTGTGATTTTGTGCTGTAAAGTCCAGTGTATGTTTCACTGCTTTACAAGTTCAATGGATTTTCATTATGTGTAGTAGTTGTGCACTATAAATTTTCTGACTACACTGAATTAGGGAATAATGAGGCATTGGTCCTTGAGAAAATACAGAATTAGGTTCCCAGGAGCCTCTGTCACATTTTGATCAGGTCATCAATACATAATCTCATGTATGTTTCTGTTTAAAAACACCTTCGTGAGTAAATATTATTGGTTCATTAGCAATGAACTCTATAACTTAGCTGAAGAACACAAGCAGTTTTTTGTAAGGTGTATCACAGGCTTCTTGTGCTTATTAGTACTAGACAGAACTTACTATTTTGAGATAGATTTTAAATAGCAAAAGCACCAGCAAAAAGCACAAAAACATGAAAAACATGCCACCAAGTAGACTACACAGAGGCAGGACGTTGCCTTGTTTGACCTCAGGAACCTGTGTGTAGGCACCAATCAGATTTTTCACTACTCTGCATGTGTCCATGGCCCTTGAGGTACTTTGGGCTTGTTTCATACCTTGTATTTTTAAACCAGTGATTCTCAAAGGAGTATAGTGAGGGAAAGGACATAGGAAGTTTTTAAATAATAGGGAGTGGAGAGGAAGGAGAAGTAAAAAGAATTAAGATGTGTTATGTACATGTATCAGCTTCCCATGGTGAATGTAATCATTATATACTGAAAACATGCACTAAATCAAAATTTTTAAAATGAAATTTTTTTTTTCTGGTACCGGGCATCGAACTTGGGTCCTTGCACTTGCTCAGCAGGTGGTGAAACCACTGAGCTAAATCCCCGGCCCTAAAAATGAAATTTGTAAATAATATCCCTTATATTTATTTTCCATTATGTATGTTGAATTTCAAATAATAGATGATGACATGAAAATGTTACACTCAGGAAGAAAACTTTGGCTCTAAAATTATTGAGAAATGTATATTTTGTTTTACTACTTTTCCTAGAATGAGAGACTTCCTTTTATAAGATTCAAGAATGGCTGCGTGTATGACCTTCTTTTCCATCTCTGTGACAAAACCGCCAACACATCCACAACTTAAAGGAGGAGAAGTTTATTTTGGCTTACAGTTTTAGAGGATTCTGTCCATGGTTGGTTGGCTTCAAGGCAGAAATGGCACGGCAGAAGGGCACAGCAGAGGAGAGGTGTTCACCTCATGGCAGCCAGGAAGCAGAGTGAGAAGGGAGGAGCTGGGGACAAAAACACAACCTTCCAGGTCACGTCCCTAGTGACTCACCTCCAACCAGTCCCTACCTAATAGCGTGAGTCATACTGGTGAGTACAATGACTCATGATCCAGTTACCTTCTAAACGTATGAGACTGTGGGGAGATATTTTAGATCTAAACCATAACACTGTGGTTTTCTACTCTGAGGATGAAAATGAGTTTTGATTCAGTTCTGCTGTCAAGAATTCCATATTAGCCTGACTTGAGACCTCAAAGACAGATAACATGAGCCCGAGTATATGTGCACACACACCTATGCTTGTACTAAGTGTAAAGGAGGAATGGGTTTTTTGTTTGTTTTTTGAGACAAGGTCTTACCATGTAGTTCAGACTAGCCTTGAACTCAGTATGTAGCCTACACTGGCCTGGAACTTGCGGTGATCCTCCATCCTACAGTAATTGTCATTCCTTCCCTGTTCATTCTAAGGTATAGTGTGTAAGGAGAATAAAAACAGGTTTAAGCAAAGGTTGCAAATTTAAATCCCTGCAGTGGACACATAGTAAACAAAGGAGTGAATCACAACCAAGAAAAAAGAGACTATGGAGATGGTGAGGAGAATGAATGTTATGTTTAAAAGGGCCACGGACTTTTGGGAACGGAGGCCTAAAATTGCTAATGTTTCAAGGGAAAACCACAGGTTACTAAGGTTAGTTTAGTTTTGTTTTGTTTTTTGAGACAGGGTCTCACTATGTAGTTGAGGCTTCTTTTCCATCAAGGCTGAACTTGAACACACTATGTAGCTGAGGCTGGCTTTGGACTTGAAGTAATCCTCCTGCCTCAGCCTCCTGAGTGCTGGGATCACTGGCCTGTGCTACTATACTTAGCAAAAGATTTTTGTTTTGTTTTTTTGAGTGGTGCTGGGGATGTAACCCAGGGCCTCCCACATGTTAGGCAAGTATTCTACCACTGAGCCACCCTCCCAGCCACAACAGTTTAGATTTGTGTGTTAACACTACTGTATTTAAAAAGTTAGTAGCTAATTTGAAATAAAATTTTAGTAGTATATCAGTGCATAAATAATCTGACTGGCCTTTGTTTCTGAATCCTGGGAAGTAGCCATAATGTTTGAGCTTTCTGAAGTGGGAGGAGTGTCTTTCTTATTCATGGTGAGCCTTTTGCACTATACTTAATAGTTTATACTAACCACTGTGGAAATCAGTATAGAGATACCTCAGAAAACTAAGATTAGAGGTCCTATTTGACCCAGCTATTGCCCTGCTGGGTATCTTCCCAAAAGAATTAAAAGAATCATACCACAGTGACAAATGCACACCCATGTTTATAGCGGCGCAGTTTGTAATGGCTAAAACTTGGAAACAGCCCAATTTCCCATCAACTGGAGACTGGATAAAGACGATGTGGTTTTTTAATAAAATGGAGTACTACTTACCCATAAAGAATGACAAACTAGAGACATTTATAGCTAAGTGGATGCACATTGAGGCCATACTCTTAAGTGAAATAAATAGGACATACATGTGTAAATACTGAATAGTTTCTCTGGTGTGAAAAACTAAAAGTGTAAATAAGGATCAAAATAATTGATAATATAATTGATAATGTGAAATAGGAAGAAAAAGTCTAAAGGAGTAGGAGAAGTTGGAGGGGTAGGAGAAAGGAAAGAAAAAAGAAAAAATATGAGAAAATGAAAAAATGGAAACGAAGTCTTTGTAAATAGGGAAGGATGGGCAGGGAAATGGGGAAAAATAAGAACCAAGATACATCGAGTAAAGGTACAAGATCCTAATGATGAATGTAACTGTATTGTATACCTAAAAAGTACCAATAAACAATGAAAAAAAAGTTTATGCTAATGGATGGCTCAAGGTAGAGGCTGGTCAGAAAGCCCAGCCATGTGATTAGAGGGTTGGGGTTTTGGGTTCCATGATATTAATCCAACTCCCTGGAGACTAGAGACTGAGTTATGTGACCAGTGATTCAAAGTCATATCCACAGAGAATCCAGAATAAAAACTCTGGACATACTAAAGTGTGGATGAACTTCTCTGGCTGGAAAATCTGGATATTGTCACGTATTAATGTGCTGGGAGGATATGAGGGGAAGATGGAAGTTTTGTCTTTGGGACCTTCCTAGCTATCACCCTATTGGTCTCTTTTGGTTGATTCTGACTTGAATCTTTTCGGTGTAATAAAACTGTAACTCTCAAGTACAGCACTCTCCTGAGTCCTGGAAGATATTCTATAAAGTTATCAAACCTGAGGTGAGCCTCAGGGAAACCCCTGATTTGTAGCTAGCTGGTCAGGAGAGAGGGTGACCTGGAGGCTCCCTAACTTGTGGCTGGTGTCTGAAGTAAGGAAAATCTTGTGGAAGATTTTGTCTTTTACCTGAAAAATTTGGTCTATCTCAAATTGTTAGTACCTGAAGTAATCATAATGGCTCATTAAAAATATCTTTGGGAATAAAATCTGGCCCCATGGTAGGCTGTTAATGACTTGTAGTCTAGCCAGTGGTGGTGAACTGACAGCTATTCGAAAGCTCTAAAAGGTTCGCCATCACTGGGAGGCAAATTCAGTGATACCAGAAGTCAGGAATGCCTTCCTTAGAAGTATGGAGATTTGGGCCATCTTACCATTCAAGGTGTACCCAAGATAAATGTGTCTGAGAGGAGACTATATAATTGTTATCTGTCATAGGCCCCTGGGGATGTGAGACTGAACAAAAGTTACTCCATTTTGTAATAAGGCCGCATCTTGTCTGCTTCTGTTACACTTCACCATGGGGACGTCGAGTTCCCAGAATGTACTTGTTGCTGTTCCAAGGAAACTGCAAGTTAGCCTTATGCCTGTTAGGTAAAGATTGGTTGCTGCACTACCCCAGCCACCAATGTCTCACTTCTGTACTTTTGCTTGCCAGGTTCCCTCTTGTGACCCCTATAAAAAGACCTCAGTCCCTGAGCCGGGTGCCTCTCTAAGCTTGGTGCTTGGAGGGTGCCATCTGGCCAGACTAATAAAGGTCTGTTTTACTTTCTCAATTTGTCTGGTGTGTTCCCTCCCAGGTGATCCTCACTATAGTCAGCTCCTCGGAGTGGTTGGTAAGGCCCTCGGTCTTACATTTTGGAGGCCCCAGCAAGATCCCCAGGTAGGAACCCCTGATTCGGCCGAGACTCCATGGCAGGATCCAGCAGGAGACCCTTGGGCACAGACCTCAGAAAAACCTCCAGAGGTAAGCTTTTGGCCGGTTGCAACCGTTTGTTAAGCCAGGAGTGAGGTGGCTGATGAGCCGGTAAGCCTCCCCTGACCCTGAGGTTCCTGACGAGGAACAAGGGAAGATTTAGTTTCATTTTGTCGCGGCGCCGGTTCATCTTGTCTTTTGTATGTTAGTGTTGTGTCTGTTGTGTGTCTGATTTTACATTTTTTTTCCAATCCTCATCAGGAGCAGAGTAATGGGAGGATCCTGTTCTACCAGGTCCACTCCATTTGACTGCTTTCTCACTAATTTTAAATTAGCTTTTTCTCCAGAACAAGAAGATGAATACAGGGTAAAATTTTCTCGCAAAAGACTCTGCTCCCTGTGCCAACTGGAATGGCCAGCCTTTGGGGTGGGATGGCCAGCCAAAGGGACTTTTGACCTCAGTATTTGCCGGGTGTTTTGGGGCAAGATCACTGGTTGCCCTGGCCACCAGACCAATTTCCCTACATAGACATCTGGGTTCAGGCTTGTGAGGAACCTCCAGCTTGGCTGCAGTGCTGTTCCCTTCAAACAGACACTCGCATTTTAGTTACTGCCCTGAAAGGACCCCAGGGACTTAAGACCTGGGCTCCCAAGCCGGTACTCTCGAAGGAACCTGACCCCCTAGACCCCTTGGGAGGGCCTCCGCCCTATGTGGAATCCTCCACCTCCTCAGATGGATCCGGCTCTAGACCTCAAAATCCTTTCCTTCCTCTGTTCAACCTTCGGCTCTTACCTCTCTCTATCCTCCTCTCCCTGAGGGGCCCCAGTCCCCAGACTCTGTGACTTCTCCCCCACACACACGAGCTGGGGCTGTGTATGGACCTAGCGAGGTCCCCACTGAGGGAACTAGTTCGTCCCCTCTCTTGCCCCTTTGGGAGACAGAGAAAGATCACTATGTTTATATCCCTTTTACTACCAGTGACTTATATAATTGGAAACATCAGAATCCTCCTTTTTCAGAGAAACCCCAAGCTCTAATCTCTCTCCTGGAGTCTATCTTTCATACCCATGATCCTACTTGGGATGATTGCCAACAACTCCTCCAGGCCCTGTTTACCTCAGAGGAGAGGGAAAGAATCCGGGGACAAGCTGTAAGGTTGGTATTAGGCGGAGCAGAGGGGCCCCTAGATGAGCAACAGCGGGCCCATATTGAAGCACAACTCCTGTCCACCCAACCCCGCTGGCAAGCTAATGCCTTGGGTGGGAGAGAAGCTCTCCAGAACTATCATCAGCATCTCCTGGCTGGCCTGAGGGGAGCCACTCAGAAGCCTACCAATTTGAGCAAGGTAAGCAAGGTCCTTCAAGGATCAGAGGAATCCCCTTCTGCCTTTTTGGAGCATCTGTTGGAAGCATACCATACGTATACTCCAGTCGATTCAGACGCCCCTGCAAATCGGCAGGCAATAAACTTGGCATTTGTTACCCAGTTGGCCCCAGACATTAGAAAGAAGCTGCAAAGGCTAGAAGGATTTGAGGGAGAGAATAGAGAAAAGTTGATGAGTGTAGCCATGAAGGCGTTTAACAACAGGGATCCCCCGGAAGAGAGAATGGCCAAGAGACTGGGAAAGATGGAGGATTTGTCCAGAAAGAAAGACCTGAAAAAATTATTATGGTAATGAGGAAGAGAAGAAGGTATTTAATAAATTTATTTATATCAGGGTCTGAGTGTATGTATCATAGTGAGAACTCTATGATTGACCATGTAACGAATAATGCTACTGATATAAATATAATGGAAAAGTAGTCTAGCTTAAAGCTTATGTTGATGGTTAGGGTTTGAATAGATATTCAGTTTCAGTTGGAAATTACTAAAGGAGAGAACAAGGGAAAAATCTGACCCTTTTTAGAGAAAGATCAGTGTGCCTATTGCAAGGAAAAGGGTCATTTTAAAAAGGATTATGAAAAGCTAAAAAGGAAAAGAGAGAAGGAGGCCCAAAAGGAAAAAGGTGGAATCCTCTTAGTAGATGAAGATTGATGGGGCCAAGGCTCATGGCTGCTTAACCCTAGTGAGCCTATGGTGACTTTGGAGATAGGAGGAACAAATGTTCAGTTCCTTGTGGACACTAGTGCAGCCCACTCTGTCCTGAAGACCCCCCTTGGACCCCTCATTTCCTTAAAAACCTCCATTACTGGAGCCACAGGAAAGTCGGCCTCCTACCCTTGGACCCCTAGACGAACTGTGAATCTAGGAAAAGGCACCATCACCCATTCCTTCTTAGTTATCCCTGAGTGCCCATACCCATTGCTGGGAAGAGACTTGCTGTGAAAGTTGGGGGCTATTATTTCCTTTGAGCCTGAAGGAGGGACTTTCGAACTCAAGCCACCCTCTGCCATTATGGTAACGGTACCCCTAGAAGATGAATTTAGATTGCTAAAGGAGGGTGCAGAGCCCCCCCGAACAAAAATGGGACTACCTTCAGAAAAAGTTTCCCAGGGTGTGGGCTGAAACCAATCCACCTGGGCTGGCCAACCACCATGCCCTGATGGTGGTCCAATTGTTGGCCTCTGCTACCCCTGTCCGTGTGTGACAATACCCCCTCCAGCTGGAAGCCAAGGTGGGGATCTCTAAGCACATCCACCAACTCCAGGAAGCCAGCATCTTAGTCCCTTGCCAGTCAGCCTGGAATACACCCCTGCTTCCTGTGAGGAAGCCTGGCACCTCAGACTTCAGACCGGTACAGGATTTGTGGGAGGTAAACAGCCGGGTGGAGACTGTCCACCCAATGGTACCAAACCCTTACATTCTGTTGAGTCTCATCCCTCCTGCTCATGTGTGGTACTCGGTATTAGACCTCAAAGATACATATTTTTCAGCCTACCCCTAGCACCAGTGAGCCAGCCCCTCTTTGCCTTCGAATGGACGGACCCAGTCTCTGGGACTACTGGACAGCTGACATGGACCTGGCTGCCACAGAGATTCAAGAACTCCCCCACTCTGTTTGGGGAAGCTCTCAGCAAAGAGAGCTTTTCCCCAAGCAACTATTCTTCAGTATGTAGATGACCTCCTAGTGGCAACTTCGACCGATGAAGAGTGTCTTGCAGCCACTGAGGGCCTCCTGGAAGTCCTCCAAGAACTGGGATATTGGGTGTCTTGGAAGAAAGCTCAGCTCTGCCAGACAAAGGTAACCTACTTGGGCTACATTCTTGAGGAAGGGAAGAGGAGGCTAGCAGAATCACGGGTATCAGCAATTCTCCAGATTCTGGAACTGAGCTCAAAGAAACAGGTGTGTGAATTCCTAGAAGCGGTTGGGTATTGCAGAATTTGGATCCTTGGCTTTGCTGAAATGGCCAAACCCCTGCACGAAGCCACCACAGGGGGAGATACACCCCTCAAATGGACTGAGGCTTGCCAGCAGGCATTTCAATTGCTTAAAACTGTGCTTGCATTGGCACCAGCCCTGGCACTGCCAGACTTAAATAAGCCCTTCACTCTGTATGTAGCGGAGAAAAATGGGGTAGCCAAGGGAGTGATTACTCAGCCTTTGGGACTGTGGAAGTGGCCAGTGGCATACTTCTCAAAGAAGCTAGATCCAGTGGCCCAAGGGTGGCCTACCTGTCTGAGGACAGTAGCAGCAGCAGCTGCTCTAACCCGAGAGGCTGACAAACTGACATTTGGACAGGATTTGACTTTAATCACTCCCCATGCCATTGAGCCCTTGTTGAATAGCTCGCCTAGCAAGTGGCTGTCTAATGCCAGACTGTTGCAATACCAAGGACTCCTGTTGGAACAGCCACGTATTAGGTTTTCCACCACTGCACATCTCAACCCTGCGACTCTGCTCCCAGAGTCCAAAGAGGAGGTGCCCATACACGACTGCCTCGAGATTCTCGAGAACTTGTGGGGAGGGTGTCCAGATCTAATGGATCAAGCCCTCCCCCAGGCTGAGGCCACGTTCTATACTGATGGGTGCAGCTTTGTGCAAGATGGGGTTTGATACGCTGGAGTGGCGGTGGTCAACCAAAGTTGCCAAGTAGAATGGGCAACAGGACTACCCCCAGGGACCTCCACCCAAAAAGCTGAATTGATTGCTTTAACAAAGGCTTTGGAATTGGGTAAAGAGAAAAGGATCAATATTTATACTTACAGCCAATATGCTTTTGCCATGGCCCACGTACATGGGAAAATTTACCAAAATCGAGGTCTCTTAACCTCTGAGGGGAAGACTATTAAAAATAAGACTGAGATCTTGGCATTATTGCAAGCCATTTGGCTGCCCCAGAAAGTGGCCATCATACATTGTAGGGGCCATCAAAAAGGGTCCAGCCCCAAAACATTTGGAAACAGTGGCGCCAACCAAGCAGCAATATAGGCTGCTCAAAAATCAGTGGGGAAACAGTTGGTCCTGCACCCCACCCCAGTATTGCCAGATAAACCAGATTATACCAAGGAAGAAGTAGAATACATGAAAAGAAAACAATGGAAAAAGGGGGATCATGAGTGGTGGACCACCAAAGAGGGAAAAATAGTTTTGCCGGGAGCCCTGGCAGACACCCTGCTCCAAGAACTACATGAGTCCACTCACCTTGGAGAAAGACAGATGCTGGCGGCCCTGCAGCCCCACTTCATCAGCCAAGGACTGACCCAAAAAGCTGAAGACCTGGTAAGACGATGTCCCACCTGTCTTCAGGTAAATGCCAGCCAAATCACAGGACCCCCAGGAATTCAATATCGGGGAGTAATGCCAGAACACTGGGAAATAGACTTCACTGAAATGAAACCTGGCCTGTATGGACTTAAGTATCTGTTAGTCTTTGTGGATACCTTTTTGGGTTGGATAGAGGCCTTCCCTACCAAAAAGGAAATGGCTGAAGGAACTGTAAAGAAACTTTTGACAGAAATAATTCCCCGATTTAGATTGCCATTAGCCCTGGGGTCCAACAATGGCCCAGCCTTCACGGCCAAGATATCCAAATTGATTAGCAGTGCCTTAGGAGTAAAATGGAATTTACATTGTGCATATAGGCCTCAGAGCTCAGGGCAAGTAGAAAGGGCAAATAGAACCTTGAAGGAGACATTGACCAAATTAAGCATGGAGACTGAACAGGAATGGGTCGAGCTTCTCCCCTTTGCCCTCTACTGTACCCAGTGTACTCCAAGTTTGCCTTCCAGTGTATCCCCCTTCCAGATAATCTACAGGTGAGTGCCCCCTCTCATCCCTAGAATTGATTTAGAATTGACAGAAAAACTCTCTCACCTCCAACTCCTTAAATCACTGAAAGCCATTCACCAGCTTCAGTCAGATTTGCAAGAAGAAATAAGAAAATCTAGGGCTCACCCTTCAGAAAAAACCCTTATCACCCCTACCTTATAAGCTGGGAGATTTGGTTTTCATTCACAGGTTTGATTCCAAAAATTTGGAACCCCATTGGAAAGGGCCATTTCCCATTATCCTAACTACCCCTATGGCGGTGAAGGTTGCTAGACACTCTGTCTGGATCCACTGCAGCCATTTGAAGGAGGCATCTCCTGAGGAAGTGAGGTCAACACGGCGGATCGACCAGAACAAGAAGGACCCCCTTAAGATAAGATTGATCAAAAACTAGCTTGGACAATATGGGGGCTCATGGGGTTACTGTCCTTACCAGCCCCGATGGAAGGAGGATCTGTGCTGTCCAGCCACACTCCCCAGAATTGGACCTGGTCCCTTAAAAACTCGCTCACAGGAGCCCTAATCACCACTAATATGACAGATCAGAGCCCCACCTTCCTTGTAGACTTATGTGATTTAGGACTAGTCACTCGGCCTGTGGGAATATTGGAAGTAGCGGGGCCATGGTCAGCCCCCCCCGTCAACCCCCGGGGGTTTAAAGGGATGGTCCACCAACCAAAGGGAAAGGGGCCTCCAGACCATAGACATCTATTCATGTCCTGTAGGAAAAGATAAAAGGTGTGATGGGGGACCAGGAAACCACTGTTATTACTGGGGTTGTGAATCTACTGCCCCATGGAAAAATGGTGGTGGGGAGGATGCATATTTGGCTTTAGAATAACAAACACCAAGCAGTTCATGTACCATGGGAAAATGTAATTCCATCAAGTTAACCTTAAAACAATGGCAGACTGCATATAAAGATTGGAAAAAAGGAAAACCTTGGACAGTGGCACTCAATGTGGCTGGAAAAGACCCTATGACAGACCTCATCATCCAGCGTAGCCCAGTACTAGTACTGCCCAAACTGATGGGCAGCATCTATAGAGTCCCCAGCCCTCAAGGGAATGAGGCCAATACAACTTATAATATGACACTGGCTGCTCCTGAATGTCCAATCCAGCCATACCTAAAAACCCTTAATGCCATGTATACTTTGTTAAATAGATCTGACTACAGTGTTACCCAAGGATGCAGGATGTGTTTGAGTCCATGCCCCCTGTATTATGTAGGGGTGTCAGTAAATGGCACCTACTCAGAAGCTAACCAAGATGAATGTGATTGGAAACAACAGAAGTTGTCAATAGGGGATATAACAGGAAAAGGGTTATGTGTTAAAAATCCAAGTGTTAAGTCTTCTTATCTAGACAGTGTATGCTCTTATCAGGCACCCACTGCCAGTAATGAAAAGTATCTAAAAGCTGGAAACAATACATGGTGGGTGTGCATGAATGGTATAACTCCTTGTTTGTCCATGACAGTCTTTAATCAGGAACTTGAGGTATGCGCAATGGTCCACACATTGTCCCAAGTAACCATATATGGAGGAGACCAGGGTTGGGAATATCTAGCTAAAAGGACACATACCTGAGAGAAGCACCACCCAGCTTTGATTCCCGTATTAACTGCAACAGGCATTGTGGGATCAGCAGCTCTGGGTGCGACAGCAATAGGAGTGCAAGACTCCAACTTCAAGACCCTTGCCCAACAGGTAAAAATAGACTTAGGCCTGCTTACCGAGTCAGTGTCCCTTTTGGAAAAACAAGCTGACTCTCTGGCTGAGATGGTCCTTCAACACCATCGAGGTCTTGACCTCCTATTCATGAAAGAGGGAGGGCTATGTGCAGCCCTAGGAGAACAATGTTGCTATTATGCTAATAAATCTGGAATAATAAGAGAAACCCTGGCCACTGTAAATAAACACCTACAAGAGAAATATGATAGATTAGAAAAACAGGAAGGATGGTTCCCGTCGATGTTTAACTGGTCTCCCTGGTTGACTACCCTTGTCTCTGCCCTTGCTGAACCTCTGTTAATCTTGCTACTAGCTTTGACTTTTAGCCCATGCATTATTAATAAACTTATGGCCTATATAAGGGCCCGGGTGGGAGCTGTTCACCTAATGGTTTTAAACCAACAGGCTAGATACAACCCAGTGCCATTAGAAGAAGAAAGCTGCATGTAGGATTACTTGCTGTGCTAAAATCAGTGGGGAATGTGAGACTGAACAAATGTTACTCCATTTTGTAATAAGGCCCCATTTTGTCTGCTTCTGTTACACTTCACCATGTGGACGTTGAGTTCCCAGAATGTACTTGTTGCTGTTGCAAGGAAACCACAAGTTAGCCTTATGCCTGTTAGGTAAAGATTGGTTGCTACACTACCCCAACCGCCAACGTCTCACTTCTGTGCTTTTGCTTGCCAAGTTCTCTCTTGTGACCCCTATAAAAAGACCTCAGTCCCTGAGCCGGGTGCCTCTCTAAGCTTGGTGCTTGGAGGGTGCCATCTGGCCAGACTAATAAAGGTCTGTTTTACTTTCTCAATTTGTCTGGTGTGTTCCCTCCCAGGTGATCCTCACTGTAGTCAGCTCCTCAGAGTGGTTGGTAAGGCCCTTGGTCTTACAGGTCATATCACTGAAAACAGAAATTTCAAAATTAACCTCAATAGTACTACTCCTTCCCCATTTGTAGGACCCAGGGCATTTGCTGCAGTGGTTCTTTCTTCTGGAAGATGAGCATGTCCTTCAGTGTCTATTTTATCAGATCCTGATGGGGCTATAAAGAGGTCTCCAAGATTGGGCCATTTCCCCATAACTTTTTTTTTTTTTGAGATAGTATCTTGTAGGACTGCATAACTCTGTAATCATAAAACTCCCCTAGCCCCAACTGTGATTGAATGTGAGTAAATAGATAAAGATGCTTCTTAGTTCCAGGACACTAGAGAAGATCTCTATCAGCTATAATTATTCAACTCTTTGTTCAAAAACTCATGTTCGGACACCACTATCTATAGAACAATCTACAAAGCATCTGCTGACTATCAGTACATGTCAGGCTAATTAACATACAAATGTAAGACCACTAACCTTTGTTCCTTCTTCTGTAAATTTCCATCTGTTAACTTCCCTGCAAGCCCCTATAAAAAGAGCCTCGACTCTGGACTGATCGCCTCTCTAAGCTACTTTGCTTTGGGAGTGCCGTCTGGCCAGACTAAGGTCTGTTTCACTTTCCAACTTGTCCGGTGTGTTCCTTCCCGGGTGTTCTTCGCTGCAGTCAGCTCCTTGGAGCATTTGGTAAGGCCCTTGGTCTTACATTCTGGAGGCACCACTGGGATCCCCGGGTGTGCTCCACTACAGTCAGCTCCTTGGAGCATCTGGTAAGGCCCTTGGCCTTACATTCTGGAGGCACCACTGGGATCCCTGGGTGTGCTTCACTATAGTCAGCTCCTCGGAGCATTTGGTAAGGACAGCGGTCTTACAATCTTGCTCTGTAGTTCAGGCTGGCCTTCAACTCACAGTAATCCTCCTGCCTCAGTCTCTTGAGTGCTGGGATGTGCCATCATGCCCAGCTCCCATAACCATCTTTTACTTTGGTTTATATCTCTTTCTCCTAGCAAAGTATTAAAATGTGTAGTGTTTTCATTTGTGTTACCTCAAATTCTTCTTTCTTCCTTCGGATAAAAAGGAAACAGGAAGAAATGGGAATTAAAAATATCACTGTGATCTAACATTCTTAGCAAGTTCTAACCTAGCATGCTGGGCGTGGTGACACACACCTATAATCCCAGCTCTGGGGAGGCCGAGGTAGGAAGATCACTGCAAGTTCAAGGCCATCCTGAAAAACATAGCAAGACATTGTCTCAAAAAGAAACAAATCAAACAAAATGTTCTAACCTAGCCAAGAAACTAGCTTTTTTTTGGTACTAGGGATGAAACGCAGGGCCTTCTCACTGAATTACATCTCCAGCCTTTTTCCTGTTTTTTGTTTGTTTGTTTGTTTGTTTTTGAGACAAGATTTTTCTAAGTCATTAAATTGCCCAGGCTAAGCCTGAGCTTGCCATCCTCCTGCCTCAGCTTCCCAGCATGCTGGGATTTCAGGAATGTGCCACTATGCCTGGCTGAGAATCTACATTTAAAGTCACCCAGCTTTAGATTCTATATGTGCAAATGGATATCCTAAGAACTAAAGAGTGCTTGAGGGGGATACATGGGTAATATATGTAAGAGGAACAGGTATTATTAAGGAGAGGAGAGATCTGTCTTATTCTGATACTTTGCAGGTAGTGATTTAATAGTACTCATAGGTATATTGTAATTATTCCAGGAGGAAATGGTTTTGATTTGTGTTGAGTAGATAGTTAAGGGATATGTTGAGAAGGACGGAAGTGATAATGGTTTGTGAGGTTTTTTTGTAACACTAATTATGAACCTGATGCACACCTGCAATAAAACATTGCTCCAGATGATGTTGGACTGGACCAGAGAGCAGATTTAGCTCAGTGGTTTCGCTGCCTGCTGCGCAAGCACAAGGACCGGAGTTTGATCCCCGGTACCAAAAACAAAAACAAAAACAAAAAACAACAGATGATGTTGGACTACCCTGCATTTTGTCTTGAGATCTGTCAGTTATTACTTCCATGATATTTATGGTTGAACCATTACTATCTATCTTAGAAACATTAAGAGGCAAATTGTAGTTATTAAAATCAACTTAGGGAAAATGTATCAAAATGCAGCAATAAAGAAATATAAATATAAATTTTTTAGATTAATTTTTGAAGAAGGTATTGCATCTAAAATTAAAAAACACTATACATATCATTTGCAAAAAACAGTTGCAAACTTTACAATCTTTTAAAAAATGCAAGTAGTTTGCTATAGTGAACCAAATGACTTATTTTTCAACCTCGAAAGAAAAGCTCAATTAAAGCTACAGTGGTATTGTAATGGTACCAAGGAGTTTGACTTGACCTGTGCCAGGTGATAATCATCTTTCAAATGTACAAACAAGGAAGCAGAGTTATCAAAGAATGAGAAATACATTTGTTCAAAGACCATTTACTGCTTTAACAAGAGGTGAAGCTTGCCAGAAATATATAAACACCTAACCCAGTTCTATTCATAGGCTTAACATAATCAAAGACTTGGAGGGCAATTAAAAATATCTTTGAAGTCTTAGGTATTCATCATCATATCTAATAATCCTTCCTTTCCAGAGCTCCTCTCCAAGGAGGTCAAGGCAATTTATCTGACTTATTTTCATGACATCCTTGTGAGATAAGGCAACCACCATTATCTCTCCTTTGCAAATGGAGAAACTGAAACACTGGGAGGTAAAAATCACTTAAGGAAAGTCAGTAGCAGGCCCAAGAATTAAAACACACACATTAAAGCTTTTAACTCCCATTTTACTTTACAGAACACTAAACAAAAAAGAATTGAAAAATAAGAATCTCATAGTTTAAAATTTTCTTTTTAGGTTAAAGAAAAACAGTTGTCAATTTTTTCTTATAAGTTTTCATGAAGAAAACTAAAAGGCTTTTTACAATAACTAAAATCTTTTTTCCCCCATTGCTGGGGATCAAATCCAGGACTTTGCACATTCAAGGTAAATACTCTGTCGCTGAATTACTTCAGTCCCAATAACTAGAATATTAGTGCACACTTGAATTGATGAAATATTTTCAAAGCTGTAATATTCATTTAACAAACACTATTGAAGGCTTACTCTGCAACATGCTGAATTCTTGAGGGTGTTCAAAATTCAAAGGTGAAAAACATATTTCCCACCCTTAAAGGTCTTCCCATAGGAAAAGATTATATAAACAGATTATAAGGCACAGTTCTGTGTTATTGAGATTTACCTAAGTTCTTTATTTCAACCTTCCAAAATCTATTTCATCTTCACTCATGCACTCAATTGCTTAAAACAATAATATGGGAACCATGCTTGAGATTTCACTCTCCAACATACCCACTGGCAAATCTCAAAAACATACTATGAAGCTTTCTAGTCTAATTTACCTTCATTGCCACTGCCAACTTGTTTCTAACTCACCACCAATTCATTCTTCACCATGTAACCAGAGTGATCTTATTAAATGGCTAAGCAAGCCACAAATCTTCTCAACAAAATCTTTCAATGGTTTCACCTTGCACTTGGAATAAAATCCAAAATTCTAATCAAGGATTTGCATGATCTGGTTCCCATTTATTCTCCAACCTCATGTAACCTCTCTTGTGTTCTGGTCACACCAGCCTCCTCTTTTCCATTCTTGGGATTTGCCAGGCTCTTTCTCCCCTTAGGTTATTTACTTAATTGCACTTCCTGGCACATTTTCACCTGCAAGTCTCTACTTAGAAGCTTTTCAGCAAATTCTCTTTCCTGTTAGACATTCTGTTGATGATCTACATATTTTCCTGCTTTGTAGTAAATGATCTGCTCAGTATCTTGTCCTTCACTGGTCTATAAATGTGGGATACAGACCAAGCCACCTAGCTCATTGATAGGTTCCTACTCTATAGTAAGTACTCATGTTAAACATCTTTTTCTTACTGTAACAAATAACTGAGACAATCAAGTTATAAAGAGAAAGGTTTACCTTGGCTCACAGTTTTGGAGGTTTCAGTCTGTGATGTTGTGAGACCTAACTAACTCCATTTTAAAGTTTGACTCCATCTTAAAATAAGACAGTGAAGTGGCCTTGACATAAATTCCACTTCACTGAAGTCAACTATTCCCCTAGTCTCCTTTGTGCCCATAAAATAATGATAAAATGTCCTTGCTGTGGGACAACAGATAAAAAAAGAGACACAGCTCCTAACTCAATCCTCTGTCTGCCCAGAAAACAGATGTTCCCAGGCCCATTATCTATAGAACATTCTGTCAATGTGCTGATTGTTCCTTTTTCCCATAAACTCTAAATGTAGCCACCCCTCACCCCCCCCATGTACACCCCATGCTTGCTAAATATCAACCAATCATGTAACTGCTAAATGGAACATCCCCAAACCTTGTGGTAGCCACAATAAAAACCCTGCTGATTTGGAATTCGGGGCTCTCAATCCTGATCCGCTGCATCGGTGATGGTTGAGTGCCCCTGCTCGAGCTTGAATAAATGACCCTCCTGTGTTTACATCAGAATCGGCTCCTTGGTGGTCTTTGAGGACTTCACGATCTGGGCACAACAATGTATTGGTTCTATTGCTTTTGGGCCTGTGGCAAGGCATCACCTCATGGTCAGAAAGCAAAAAGAGAAAAAGGCACCAGGGTCCCAAGTGTCAATGATCTGATGACCTCCCACTAGGCCGCATGTTTTAATGTTTCTACCACTTCCCAGGAGCACCAGGACTTTAATGCATGGACCTTTACAGACATGCCATATCCAAACTATCGCAGTGGTCAATACTTATTTGTTGAATGAATAAATGAATGAGTGCTATTTGGACTGAGAAAAGACCTCCTAATTATAATTCTTATTATACTAGCACAGAGGCCAACTGATAAGTAAATATCTGCAATTAATAATGTTT